ATCTCAAGTATGTGTATATCAGGATTGCGAGGCAATAAGGTACCGTGGCCTCAGCCTGGAGAAGGAGATGTAACGGCGAATTTTAGTCAGTAGGTAAGAATCTGAAACTCCGTCTCACCTGGATTCCCCCCGAACAAAAGCAGAATGTGCATATAAGGGCAATCAGGGTCTTTTCAATATCCCGGCTACGAAAACTTTGCTTGTGATTTTCTTGTTTGAATATTTTTTGGTATTAGCACCCGGTTTCCAAAAGGCCGATCAAAGTTAAAATCAATTTAATCTCTTGTCATCTGATTGGTTGACTGAATTATCAACAACCAATCAGATGACTTGACAAGAGATTTGACACCTAGTTAGTTGATTATAACATTGATCGGGCTTTCGGAAATCGGGCATTAGTCTTGTTGTCTCTTAAATGTTCCGTACATGTGTGAAACCTTACCTATTACCTAAGACACATCGTAACCAGATAAAAGATCCTTTAATTCACACTAATTGCGATTTTCTCACACTTTTGAAATGCTAAAAGACAGGTTGTGGTGTTCTGAAAACATTAGTTTCATGTTTCGAAATTATTAGGCTGCATGACTTGACAAAAAAGGGATGTTAAATAACCAACACATATATTACTAAGAGGAAAATTTTATACAATGTTTATTACCATCGTTGCTTCAAAATGAATTGATGAATTTGAAAATTTCTTTCAACATTAGAAAGATTATATTTCAGTGAGGAATTTAAACTAATATTTTATCCCAATATTTCTAAAGCTCCGGAAATTATTTTAACGACTGCAAGGTTGGCGTAGTGGCTGGACAACGGGCTTCTGTGCAACGTGTCGCGGGTTGGATTCCGGCACGGAACAACAATTTGTGTGATTCACAAATTGTTGTTTTAATTTGTGATTCACACATTATTGTTTCACCCACGACATAAGAGAAAGTCCTAGTGTGAGGCAATGTTTAAAAAAAAAGAATATTAGAGAAAAAGTTTCTATATTCTAAGTATGCGGATAAAGCCGCAGGTGAAACATAAAATTGTGAGTAAAACGTAATCACAAAACAATTGAATAAATCTGACCTCTTCACTTTGTGGCAAATGAAAGTGTTGAATTGTAAGTCATAGTAATAGCACTCTTATTGCCGTGTTGTAAAGGATGATTGTAGCATAGCAGTGGTATGTCAAATTATGTGTAACAATTGTACTAATAGTTTATTTTGTTTCCGCTGTTATATCATAGTATTTGGATGACCCAGCTTCTACGGATATTATTTTTTAACATTTCCTGAAAACGAATCGTTTTTTTGTGAGGGGAAAATCAACAAATAACTTCTCCCGCCCAGGGTTAGGCAGAAGGGAGTGTCAGACTTTTACTGACTAAAAACCCCTCCGTTCCTTCTCCTGCTCTGTGCCAAGGTTGCGGTGCCTCATTGCGCTTACCCCGCAACCTCGGCTAATCTGGACAGGATGGAGTGTCTTGTGCTTTCTCCATTGGAATCTACACTTTGGAACGAGCATACAGCTTTATTAAAAGGACTGACCGACAGACGTGACATTGTGAGGCCGTGGTATCACTCCGGTTGGAGCCGACTCATTCGTGCCGAAGCATCGCTCACACGCACACCCACAGAGGGTTATGAAAGAAAGTATATTTTTACTGATTCAGGCAGTTGTATTAAGTTTTCACATCAGGCGTTCTTATCAGCACTTATCTAGACTGAAATTTATCAAAATGAGAACATTTTTATTTAAAAACTCATATCTCGTAAACTATTTTTTTAAGTAAATAAAACGTTAAGCTTTATTACGACTGTAAACAAGAATTCAGATGTTTTATAACCTTTTTTCTCGACGGCCCTGTACATTCACAGATTATTCTGTATTACGAAACATAGTAACATCAGATTTTGGTAATCTTTAGCGGCGCCTGCGCAACTTCTAACAATTTAGAGATTTGGCATTCAGTATAAAGTTGATCTGTATGAGGTTAATTAATATATCTACATAATGAATGGTATTAATAAAAATAAATGTACGTTTGTATGCGCATAACTATTAAACAGCTGGATCGAATTTGATAATTCGTCTTTTGACGTTTATTATAAGTTATTTCATATTCATATATTTTGAAGTAATTAAGCAATCATATAATAAAAAAAAATGTAGACGCTGGATACAGGCAACTCTACTCTTATTATAGCTTGTAGTAAAAAAAAACATAGAATTTTACTAAGCTTAGTTTTAATCCAAAGAAATATTTTTTTATAACAAGTCTTTCTAGATCTTACTTCAAATGTTAACTTTTCCGTCCAATAAACTATTCAGTACCTACAGACTACGACTAAACAAGCGGTTTTTTTGGATATAATTATCAACAGCCCTCTCTCTCCCTGGATGGAGAGAGAAAGTGTTAGACTCTTACGGTCTTATTACAAAACAAGGTCTTTCATTCAAACCAGACTACTAGCTCTTACCCGCGGCGTCGCTCCCGTCATTTGACTACCCACCCTACTTTACCTACCCTACTTTACCTACCCTACTATACCTACCCTACTCTTCCTTCCCCACTCTACCTACCCTTCTCTACATACCCTACTCTACCTACACTACTCTACCTACCCTACTCTACCTACCCTACTCTACCTAACCTACTCTACGTACCCTACTCTTCCTACCCTACTCTACCTACTCTGCTCTACCTACCCTACTCTACATACCCTACTTTACCTACACTACTCTACCTACCCCACTCTACATAACCTACTTTATCCTATCCTATGTCCTTCTCCTGGCTCTAAACTTCCTCCCTACTAATTTTCAGTTAAATCGGTTCAGCCGTTCTTGAGTTATACATACATAAGTGGAGTAACTAACACGACTTTCTTTTATATAGTATATAGATTGACGGTAAGTGAGAATAATATTCAAAATACAAAACCTGACTCTATGGTTGAAACCTAGACTAAAGATAAGTCTTGCATTGTAGGTAATAGGGGGATTACTGATTAAAAACCGCACCATTCCCCCTTCTACGGCCGGGGCCGCGGTTAGTTCTTTGTTCGTGCACCCGCAATCATCAATACGAAAATCATCTCATGACTTTTCCTTACCGTGGGCGAGAGGGTATGCCAGACTTTAAAGTGTTTTAAGTGTGGGAGAGTCATGCTTCGGCAGGACTGGGTCGGCTCGACCGAAATGATACCACGGCCTCCCAGAAAACCGGCGTGAAACAATCACAGCGTTGTGTTTCGCCGTGTGAGTGCGGTTACCGGAGGCCCAATCCTTTCCCTCAATCCCTAAATCTCCAAATTCCTAATCCCCAAAAGGTCGGAAACGCAAAAGTAACTCCTCTGTTGCTAGTTTCCATGGGCGGCCATGATTGCTCATCAGGTAATACCTACGTAAATCGTTTGCCGACCTATTACATAAAAAAAAATTAAATCGTAAGTACTTCTCCTAATCGACGCACACAACGCTGTCAAAACTTCGTTGAGTTAAGTTACCTAATCATAGCTTTTTGTGTTAATTATAAAAATAGAAAATCTAAAATAGAATTGAAATGTTTTGCTAATTTTTTACAGGTGCGAAAACTTAATAGACAAAAAGATACGTTTTTTATTGTGTTATAAATATATCTATTAGGTATCTAGAGGCGTGGCGGACTAAAAATACTAAAATGAAAAAAATATTTATACTGAACTAGCAGTCGCCCGCGGCTCCGCCCGCGTGGATGTCGATTTTACACTTTTTCAAGTATTTTTTTTAATTTTCTTTTCGTATGTACAAACCTTCTCTGGACATCCATAAATAATTCAATACCAAAATTAGCCAAACCGGTTAAGGCATTGTTGATTCATAATATTACAACGAAAAGTGGCATTGATCTATACTAATATTATAAAGAGGTAAATTTGTAAGTTTGTATATAGGGGTAATCTTTGGAACCGCTGGTCGGATTGCCAAAATTCTTTCACCGATAGATAGCTACAATTTTCTGAGTGCTATAGGCTATAAACACGCTACAATCAAATGGAGCCGAGCAGCGGGTGAATCCACGTGAGAGTAGCTAGTTTTTATAGATTATACTGTTAACGAAGGAGACAGTGACGTTACAAGCAGTTGCGTATGCGCAACCTATTGCTATCAAGGTCGATGACTTTCATAGTAGTTGGAGAAGTAGCATAATTCGTGATCATGAACTTTGATCAGCTTATTATAAAGTGTAGCAGATTATCAATTAATTGATTATGTAATTAATGGTGTTTTTATCATCATCATCATCACCAAGAATATTTTGTGACTTATTGTATTTTGCCTGCGACTCCGTTCGCGTGGAATTAGAGAGTTCTTGTAGATTTTTGGTTTAAAAACTATCCTATGCCCTTTCTCGAGTTCCAAACTATGTCTGTACTGAATTTCACACAAATAGGTTCAGTAGTTTAGGCGTGAAGAAAAGACAGACAGACAAACAGACAGTTACTTTCGCATAATATAAGTATAGATATGGATAGTATGGATTGGTGTTATTATTCGTAAGAATGCTGGTACAAAAATTCTCCATTATTTAATGGATGTTATTATACATATTATAAACTTTTTTTTTCAATCAATCGAAGCGTACATAGCAATACGCTTCGATTGACTGAAGAAAAAAATTCAAAGTCGCTTTTTATGTCCCTAAAAATATAGGGACACAAAAAGCTACTTTGCTTTTTATACTACGTAGTGATGTGGCATTTACCTGTATACATATACTTTTTCGAAGTATTCATATATATATAATTTTATATGTGATAAATAAAAACTTTTTCAAAGTATTTCGCCTTTCTGATTTACCGGTTTGCGTTTTGCATATAACATTTTGTATTTTGTTTAAAATAACATATGGATTCAGTCATTATAATCTAGAACCTTACTCCTAAAATCATAAAGCATGAAATCGATTAACTTCGCAATCTTTTGAGTATACCTACAATATGTATTTTCTCTTTCTTTTCCAGTGGTGACCGGTGCGACAGACGGTATCGGAAAGCAATATGCGCTGGAGCTGGCTCGGCGAGGGATCAGCGTCGTCATCATCAGCCGGAACCCTGACAAGCTCAGGGCAGTGGCTTCTGAGATAGGTTGGTATTGGAAATTTCTGGACAAACACAACATAAGGAATAATTTGGCGAAAATGTGTTGTATCGATACCTTATTATGGCTAGACATTATATAATACTAGCTTACGCACACGGCTTCGCCCACCCCGTATATTGATAAATAGTATCACCCACTATCTACCTGCAAAATTTCATTCAAATCTGTCCAGCTGTTTTCGCTAAATAATAACAAACATACATCATTCATTAGGTATACCATCACAAATTTTCACATTTATAATATTACTAGCGGGCGCCCGCGGCTCGCCATCCTCTCGGTCAGCGTGGATATCGTATTTACACATTTTCAACATTTTTTTTTAATTTCTCTACGTGCAAACTTTTTCTGGACTTCCTCGAATAGCACAATCGGTAAAGGCATTGTTAAGTTATAACATTACAAAGAAAAGTCGCATTGATTTTTAAATACGAGTACTTATGTATATGTACCTACCTATAGTTATAGTAGGATTTTGTTACGTTTTCTGAACATGGCCGAGTATTTCCTAGTTAAAAAACAAAATACACTAAAAACTAAACCATAGACAGGTACAAAAAGAGTAAATAATACTTCAGTCTGTTCGTCAGTGAAGCTAAATGAGCTAGCTAATAGCTAAGTGTTCTCTTAACATAACTATAGTAGTATATAGCACAAATATTGACTGACCACCACAGATTAATTTTCATATTTTCATACAAACCCCACTTGTTTGGTTGCTACGCAAATATCATCCTTATTGTTTGTTATTTAAAGGTCTACGCGGAAACGATGGCTTAAATCAATATTTTTATCTCTGTCGAATACATTTGCATTCTATTTTCAATTGTATTTATTTAACAGTTTTTTTACATTGTTAGGTGTATACATATTAGCTGTTTTATGTATTCAGTTAGAGTTCAGTTTCACTGTGTGACTTAGGTTACCGGAGACCTTAGGTTAGGGGAGGGGAAGGATTGGACCTCAATCCTTCCCCTCCCCAAATCCCTAATCCTCAAAAGGTCGACAACGTACTCGTAACTTCTCTGTTGCGGGTGTCCATGGCATAGAGAACTAAACCAGTGTGTTGGTTTAGTTGGTCCATGGGGCGCTGATTTGCTTACCATCAGGTAATCAGGCTGCTCGTTTGCCGACCTATCACATGAAAAAAAGTGTCCATTCTTGGCAGGGCTATCAGAAACCACTGATGCTTCCTTAAATCAGCTCTTACAACATCTGCCTCTCTCACTGTTCGAAGGGCTTACTTATATTTCACTCTGCCGTCACAGGGTACCTCTTATAAAGAATATTGATTTTGAATACTTGGAATTGACTGTTATACAAGTAACGACTATCCAATTATACCAATCTTGTTGCTAGAACAAAGCCAGGAAGACAAAATAGGTGTTACCTAAAAGTTCTCGTCTTTGAGGTGAAACTCAAAATCATGGGTCACATTTATTATTTCAACGACTCACTCGTGCGAATGAACTGGGGAGACCTCTAATAGTTTCAAGTTACAACGGAACTCTTATTCATACGCAGCGTGCGCGTCGCAACGGCGAGAGTCGGCTGTCGAAACTAGTAGAGCTTTTCTCGGTAAATTCACGTGATTAAGTCATTCTTTGTTATAAATTTAGTATGTAACACAATAGCTACTCCTAAAATGTAATTTCGTGCTTCAGATTTCTTGGAAAATGTTTAAATAATAAGCTTTAAAAAAATACTCGAGAATATTTGGTCCGGTGGGCTAGAAACGAGCAGATTGATAACCTGATGGTAAGCGATCAGTGGTTCCCATTGATATACCAAACACCCGAGGAGTCACGAGTGTGTTACCGGTCCAACTGACCTCGTCTGAGTTTTTCCAAATACCTATTTAAAGACTATTTTGTCTTATTAGCACATTAGTTACCAAAATCACCATTTATAAGTCTTGCAAATATTTTTCATCCATAGGTATGCTAAAATTTTGCAGTCAGTTTTTTTAAAGAAAAGAACATTTTGTATTTCATGTTTGCAATAAAATAGATTGTTTACATACTTATGACAACGTATGGAGATACAAGTTGTATTGACTCAAGCTGAACAAATACACTTACGCGTGTATATTACAAAATCATGCATCGCCAACCATTCACATTGCGTTTCTAAGCTGACACAGAATTAGTATTGTTAGAACTACAATGACCATTGTCAGTTTCATCTCTGCTTTGTTTTTGATGATTGCAACACGTGATGATGTGTAGACCGTGTAGATGCTTGACTGTCAAGCTAACTGACTTTAAAATATCAAAAAAAGACACGTGAGCCTTAAATTCCGTAAAACAGTAAAGTGTCAACTGACTTCAAGAAGATCCAATTTCCATAAAATACGAATGCTATCCATGATTTTCTTGTAGACGTAAATGAACCAAGTCAATATGTATGTGTAGGCACCTAAATCATATTCAAATCTAAAAACAGTGAATAGTTTTTTTTCATGTGATAGGTCGTAGATCAGACGGATTACCTGATGGTAAACAATCAGCGCCGCCCATAGACACCCGCAACAACAGAAGAGTTACGAATTCGTTGCCGACCTTTTGGGTATTAGGGATTTGGAGATTTAAGGATTGGGGGAGGGGAAGGTCAGGGCCGGTAACCTCACTCACACGGCGAAACACAACACTGTGGTTATTTCACGACGGTTTTCTGTGAGGCATTGCTATCACTCCGGTCGAGCTGACCCATTCGTGCCGAAGCATGGCTCTCCCATACTTAAAAATTGCAGAGAGATCTATTAAAGTTGTTGATTTGGCAGAGGCTTCAAAGTTTAAAGAACAAATACTTACAATCTTTCTTCATACTTGTTCCCTTTTAGGTTGGACTCAGAAATGAGTGTCACTCGTAAACTGTTATAGTTCCATGTTTAACCTGTTATATATAAATGTGTGTTTTCAGAGAGGACACATAACGTGAAGTCCAAAGTGGTGGTGGCAGACTTCAGTAAGGGAGCTGAAGTGTACCCATACATTGAGGAGCAGCTCAAGGACATACCCATCGGTATACTAGGTAAGCAGACTGAATAGAAACGAGGTACATGTTATGGTTTTAACCATGATTCTAAGTGGTGATGACGAAATGTGTGTCAAGGATATGAACGAGAAATTTCAAAGAGAGTTTAAAGAGATATTTTTGTGAGCATGGAACAGGATCTTGAAGGTAATTGTGAAATACAAAAATGTTAAGACTTGATTTGATGGAATTGATTCATTTATTGGGTTGATGGAATGACGTTCTAGGAACTGGCTGTAATTTGGCCTCTGAGGTAACTGGAAACATTTTATACTTATCAGTATCTTTATGATCTGCTCCAGATACAGGAGATGGCACAGGCAGATGTTTGAATTCAAGATTAAAAAAATACCGAAGCCCACCTTTTTTATCATAGCTATTTTCCATCCGGGATTTCAAGTAGTAGATTAATATCTTACATTAATTTTCAACGCATACATTATCAGCTTATAAATGCCAATTACTGAGCTTTAATCACCACGCTCACCCAAGTTGGATTAGCAATTACAAAATTATAAAAAAATGCATAAAATACAGATATCCTCACGGTGTTTCCTTGACGTTTATCAAGTGGTGTCTAAATAACTTAGATACATTATGTTACTTGAAAAAAGTCGCATTTTGTTTATGTGATAGTTCGGCAAACGTGCAGACTGATAGCAGATGGTAAGCAATCAACGCCGCCCAGGGACACAGACAGAGGAGTAACGAGTGCGTTGCCGACCTTTTGGGGATTAGAGATTGGTTCTATGCTGGCTTTAAGTTTATAACCCACAGCCTTATGTAAGACCTCCAGTTCGCAACAACCATCGCATACTTATAAAGAAAACTTGACCCTAAAACCCGAAATTTATATATTTCAGTCAATAATGTAGGCGTAAACTACGACTACCCGATGCCATTATGTGAAGCGTCCCCCACCAAGCTTTGGGAGCTGATCAACGTGAACGTGGGTGCTGTGACTGCCATGTGCCGGCTGGTGCTGCCCGGCATGGTGCAGCGAGGTCGAGGGGCCATCGTCAATGTATCGTCTGGGTCTGAACTCCAGCCACTACCTTTGATGACTGTCTATGCTGCTACAAAGGTATTATGTTAAGGCATTTGTTTCTTCATTGCATCAGTGAAGTGCATGATTGAACGGTTAGTGCGCTGGCTGGGCAACTGGCTGCCGCGAAACGTATCGCAGGTTCGATTCCAGGAGAATATCCAAATGCGGGTTAAAGGCTGTGAATCTACCGTAGAAACGGGTTTGAGCAGTGTTGTTAGGCTTTTCGGCTTTCAAACATTGTGTCGAAATCTGAAATATCAAGTTTCATCATTTACAATATTATTTTCACTAAGTACTAAAGAAGTAAGTTCATTGCCCAACCCGAAATCCCTTTTCAGCAAGGAAATTGTATACCTAACTAATTATCTAACAATTTGACTGTTACTTGTAACCCCTGGTGTTGCAGGGGTCTCTCGGTACTGCTAGTTTCGTACTACCAGAAGACCTGTCTACGCGTTTGCCATGAAAAATACTTCATTCACTTCAACCACTTCATTTTCTTGTTTGTATGTTCCAGTCGTACGTTCGAAGCTTCACGTACGCAGTTCGCGAGGAGTATGCTCCCAAAGGTATCCACATTCAGCACCTGGCACCACTCTTCGTGTCCACAAAGATCAATGCCTTCTCCCAGCGGCTGATGGATGGCAACCTCCTCGTTCCTGACGCTGCTACGTATTCCAGATATGCAGTCTCTACCTTGGGAAGACAGCATAACACTACTGGGTACTGGTTGCATGGAATACAGGTTTGTGATACATTGCAGTTATGTAAACAAAGTAGTCAGAAATATAGACTACAGACAGGCACTTTTGAAATGTCAAAGATAAATAGTTCGTTTATATCTATAAGTATAATGTGTGTAATATTTATCGATGAGACATGGTATATGTTTTAATTTAAAATGTAGAAGAACGAGTAGCTAAAGCTATTTAAGAAAGTGAATGGCAAGGACATGCTTGGGAAAAAGTTGAAGTGGTCGTGAGTGCGATCGATTTGTTAAGTTGAAATATACAGGGGCAAGAGCGTTAGCTTACATATTACAATAAAAATTGAAGTCTAGTCGATCGAGAGTCGTATATAGAATTTGACTGGACGATTGGTATGCAAGTAGCAGGTTCGTCATCTAGTCAAGATAATTATGTTGCATTGCAACGTGTCGCCACATAACATTTGTTAATTTTGGACGTAGCTCGACAACCAACAAGAACTAGACTCCAGTGTACGGTGCGGTCTGCTATTAGACCAGATGGAGTCCAACAGGGCTGATGTTGATGTTTCAGCCAGGGTTTTGGGGGGAAACCCAACAGGGCAATAATGTATTCATATCTTCAAAAACCCTAGAAGACAGGGAAGATACTAGGCGAGTGTAGAATTAAAAAATATGTTTTCTTTGTTACAGTACTTCCTCATCAAAGTGGTACCAGTTTGGTTGAGGACGAAGGTGGGCATGCAGATGAACATACAATTCCGCGACGAATACCTTCGGAACGCTAAGATAAAGGCCAACTGAGTGTCATCCATAGAACCAGTCGAGTTGTTAGGAGAAACCTCTCGCTAGTAAGATCAATGTTAGAAAATTAAATATCAAGGATTATTATAGAAAAATTGATTATTCCAATAAAGTCCCAACCGCCATTCCGTGATAAATGTTAAAAACGTGTTTTTGTATCATAATTGTCAATCAACTTAAGATGATAACCATCGTGAGAAATATTAAATGAGTTAAGTTTTGTGCTGCGCATGATTAAGGGTCCCTAATGTAGCTTGTAACTAATCGAGCTACCTCGTCGAGTCGTTACATAAACAAGTTGTATAGAGTAACAAAATAAAATATATTATTTCAGATTATTAATTTGAGACATATCCCAAAAAGCCAATATTTCGATTTTTTAATTTATTTATGATTTAAATAAAGATTTTATGTTTTGTGATATAGTGTACATTTACTTTTTGATAAATCTTTTTATAAAAATTCCGGTTGAATTTATTGCATTTTGGAATTTACTGTTATCTGATTCTGAACATTTATAATTTTTAATTTTGTACAATTTATGGAAAACATATGGGAGACATACCTACTTAAATGTTAGTTTGTATGTTTGTAAATGGAATAATAAATGTGATATTGTTAAGTGAACTTTTATAGATGTAAATATTAAAAATAAATATTAATAAAAAATTAACTTGTTTGTTTTCTCTTTCTTTAAACCTTTGACGGCTATAGGACACCTGGGGAAATAATGGATGGAGCAGATGGGTTTACAAGTGTGGGAGAGCCAAGCTTTGGCACGAATGGGTCGGCTCGACAGGAGTGATACCACGGCCTTACAGAAAACCGGCGTGGAACAACCACTTACATTGTGTTTCGCTGTTTGAGTGAGGTTACCGGAGGCCCAATCATTCCCCCCATCCTCAATCCTCAAATCCACTACCCATAAATCCCTAAAAACCTACAAAAAGTCTGCAACGCACTTGTAGTACTTAACTCCTTTGATATTACGATTGTCTATGGGCGGCGCTGATTGTTTACTACCTGGCAATAATCCATCCTATGACATAAAAAAGAGTTTCCAAATACTACATTCTCCGTTACCGTGGGTGCATTCAAAAATATACAAATTCACATACATAAGCAACCCAGACCAAAAACATTTTGTAGATCACCCAAACTGACATGGTCGAGCCGGCGACACCAAAAAAAATTACGACAAGTTGCACAGTCCAGCTGTTGCGTCAACTATGCAGACGAAGTCAAACTCAAATCATTTATTTCAAACTAGCTCTTACCCGCGGCGTCGCTCCCGTCATTTGACTACCTACCCTACTATGCTTACCCTACTCTGCCTACCCTATTCTACCTACCCTACTATGCCTACCCTACTCTGCCTACCCTATTCTACCTACCCTAGTCTACCTACCCTACCCTACCTACCCTACTTTACCTAACCTACTATAACTACCCTACTCTACCTACCCTACTTTACCTAACCTACTATAACTACCCTACTCTACCGACCCCAGTCTACCTACCCAACTCTACCTACCCTACTCTACCTACCCTACTCTACATACCCTACTCGACCTACCCTACTCTACCTACCCTACTCTACCTACCCTACTCTACCTAACCTACTCTACCTACTCTACTCTACCTACCCTACTCTACCTACCCTACTCTACCTAACCTACTCTACCTACTCTACTCTACCTACCCTACTCTACCTACCCTACTCTACCTACTCTACTCTACCTACTCTACTCTACCTACCCTACTCTACCTACCCTACTCTACCTAACCTACTCTACCTACCCTACTCTACCTACCCTACTCTACCTACCCTACTCTACCTAATCTACTCTACCTACTCCACTCTACCTACCCTACTCTACCTAACCTACTCTACCTACTCTATCCTATCCTGTGTCCTTCTCCTGGCTCTAAACTACCTCCATGCCAATTTTCAGCTAAATCGGTTCAGCCGTTCTTGAGTTATAAGTGGTGTAACTAACACGACTTTCTTTTATATATATAGATAGATCACAATAGGCACTTTTGAAAATATTAAAAGGTTTAACTTTATGCATGTCAGTCTGTCCATCTGTCCTCTAGTTAAGCGATTTGCTCGTTCCAAAGTGTACATTTCTATGGAGAAAAACGAGCAAGAAACTCCACGGTTAGTCTTTTTCAATCAGTTTTACTATCCATTTCTTTAATACATAAATTTAGTTAGTTCTATTATGTGAGAACAGTGTAATGAATAGCTAAAGAATCCGAAAAAAAAATAACCTCAAGAACAGGAACTTTAGACAGCCTCGGGTTGACCAGTCCCAATATATTCCCATTCATAATGAAGATAAAATCACGAATGTTTTTTTAATACTATAAGGGATAGGAAAAGTATGTAGAATAAAGTTACCGTTTAAACCTTATTGGTGGTTTGGGATAGCCTGTACGATAAAAATGCTTTATGCACTTGAACATCTATATAGAAAAAATGGTATTTGTCACTTTTTTGATGGTAGATAACTGGTTTGACATTTTCGAGAAAATTGGTTTGGAAAATGTAGAATAGATTGCATTAGCATGAGTTAAAACTAAAAAGGACTAAAGTAAACTAAGAGCTTTAGGGACAACGCCAATATGGAGGTATTTTATTTTGAAAATCTTGCTCTTTATTATGAAAAAAAATGGTCATAATAGATTGATAGTGATAGCACTATCAATCTATTATGACCATTTTTGAATTATTCGATCCGATCCGAAACCGACTAAAAGGCAGGAAACAATTATTGTATTTTCCATTACCTATTCCAAAAATAGCTTGAATAGGGTTTTAAGTTAAGATAACACAGAAGTTCTTATTCACAAAGTCTGACACTCCCTTTGCTGCGCCCAGGGCAGATATAGTAATTCGAGGATACTCCACCTAAATAAACACAAAAGAAGAAATCGTAGAAGACTGAACTGATTTCAGAAATGTTGGAAACCTCATATGTTAACTTGCTAAAACGTGTTAAGCAACGTTGACGACAAAATTATAAATACTAAGGTCACATCACATCATTTGCCTATAGGTCTCTTTTCACACGTAGAAGGTTTATAGTATTAATCACCACGCTTGCTCAAAGCAGATTGGCGATTTCAAACTTATTATTAGAAATTATAAATCCAGGTTTCCTTATGATTTTTTTTCCTTTACCTTAGATATAAATAAATACTTAGAGATGTATACTATTTTGTGTACTAGCACTTCTGGTGGAATAGACGAAAGAGCAGTCAAGCCAGTAGAGTAGTTCGTTCAGGCAGTAGGTCTGAAGGCAATCGTCTGGGCACACGCGTGGATAGCTTCGGTAGTCGCTTGAGCAGTCAGACAGGAAGCCATTGCAGTAGTGGCAGCCGTGGTGCCGGTCGCGGCAAAGAGCTCGAGTTCCAGTTCTTTATAAGACAAACTGAGGTACGTGCTTGGTGTGTGTACTTGTGTGTCGTTTCGTCTAGTAGTAGGAGTATTGTAGTTATGTCTCAGTATTTTTACTGTCAATATGATCTGGAGTACGTCCCTGGTTCTTGGTACCCGTAGATAAGTAAAGACCAGAACATGAAATTACTGTAACCTACCTTCTAAAGGAAATTTAAGGCTCAATAAGGGGCCTGGAACAAGGAATTTTCTCAACTTTTAAGAATTTACCTATATTCTGCGAAATTTTTCTATAGAGAACAAAATTTAATCCTGTGTCTAAATGACAGTAGTGAGATTTTTATGGGATAGGACGGCAAACGATCAGGGTGACCTGATAGAAAGCAATCGGCGCCACCTATGGATACCCAAAGAGTCAGAGGGTGTTATTAATTTGTGGATTGGGCTCTAAGGGTAGATTAACTTTTAGTAGGTACCTAGGATTCAACAAGTTGAATGCGGTGGTGATCCAGTATTTAGATACTTTTTTAAATATTTTGCGATGAAAGCTGTGAACTTCAAAACGTTCTGAATCATCACAACTTTACAGCTTCTATAAACCGCTTACATTTTTAGACACTCTACCCCCCGTGGTGGACACACGAAAGAGCTGTCGCCTGGTTCCGGGACCTCCCTGATGATACTCTGTGGAACTGCTATATCTGTGCCTTAGTCTTGTTGGGGCTCGTATGGACCGTCGCCCATCTGCAAAATATGTACATCGATATCATTGACGTCATCTATAACGTTTCCTACGCCATCCATATCTTCGCAATTGGCTACAGAATGCTTTCTGAACGGGAAAGCACCGATATAACCTGTTGGATAGCCAGTAAGTACTACATGAGCCTACTTTAATCGGGACAAGAAGTTTTTATGTAGGGGGTAATGACGGAACCGATGGTTGGATTTCTAAAATTCTTTCACTGATAGATAGCTACAATGTTTCTGAGAACTTTTAATTGTGTATAGAAGACATAGATTGACAACAATCCAACAGATTGCTTATCAAGTTCTGCATCCCACAAGTGAAGTTTGTGCGCTAATATACACGCATAGAAAATCTCAACGAACAACTGTTGGGCAGTAGCCCGCCAGGCACGATCAACTCGCCTGGTCGAAGGATCCTCCTTTTCCGATAATAGAGAACTATACTCTCTGTTCCCTAAACTTGATTTGGGTACTTTAGTCGAGTTATCGCTTTAAACGCTGCAGTTTTTGAAATCCCGTCATAAATTACATTACAATGCGAACCAATCTTAGATAGGTACCTAAATAATTTCTTTTTCTTTTGGATTTAGCATATTTATTCTTATCTCTTAGTTATTGTAATTTATTTCAGTATGGTTTTTGGTTGACATTGGAACGTTCGCGCATTACGTCCAGACTCACAATCCAGGCTTTAAGCTCGGTGCCTACTTCGTGCGTCTGCACCGACCTTTTAAATATCTCTGTTAGTACAATCCAATACTCATCATCAGCAGGTGCAACTGCTGAACATAGATCCTTCACCTTGTAACATCAAAGCGGTATATTCGTTATTCAGTATCTGTTATAAGGATTTAATAGTATCAAACATCTTTTGAAATTTTAAATGGACACGTGTAGGATTTCTTTTTATATCGTGATCCGTACTGTATTATTCTGTCTTCTTGTATGTTTTCAAAAACAGACTTCCTCATTGGCCATCTACAGGTCAGTTAACCACAGAAGCCGACTATGCATTATTGACCTTCTTGACTCCAGGCTCAGAAAAAATCCATAAATTTTAGCCAAAATACGTAGTTTGGAATTGTGAATGTCTCCTTCTGGTAATGGCATGTATGGGACACGGTACGCAACTTCAGTAGCATCCCTATCGAAAATGAAATGTTTATAATATGATGAACTAATTCCAGGGTCTCTGAATGACTACAACCTTAAGGGCAGTATACTGGGGACCACCTTGAAATACTGCTATATATTCATGGTGATGCGAATCACGTGGGCTTATGTTTGGTTACACGTGGAGGTGGTTAGTACCTTTTTTGTGTGATAAGGAGGTAAACAAGCTATGGTATCACCAACAGTAAGTAATCGGCGTCCTTGGTCGCGCATGGATACCCGCAATACCAGAACAATTACGAGTACGTCGCCGGATTTTTGGGAGTTAGTGATTCGAAGAGCAAACACTGTTTCACACCGTGTTTTGAGAGGCCATTGCATCTCTCCAGGCAAACTGGCTCAAAAACAGCTAGAAGAACATAAAAAAGTGTTAGATATGCTCTCAACTGCTTTGAACCCGTTTAAAATCCTTATACAACTTTATTAATTGTTTTAAATAAAATTATTGAAGTGCATCAAGCACAGTTATGAATAATAACTGTTAAACTTCAATCAATTTATTACAAAACAATAAAGTTCAAAATCAGATTGTAGTATTCAGATCCTCTATATTAATTCTAAATGACTTTATATTATATTCCACTTTTCAGATCGAACCTTCTTACTACATAGTACAGTCGAATTCGACTAATACCACTGCAAATGATTCGAATCAGACTAACACCACTACAATTAGACTGAACACTATAGGAGGGGATTCCGGCAACCCCGCGGGAGAGTTCCTCACAGCCGTCTATACTATCAGCAAGATGTTCATACCTATCGGGTGGGTAGCTACCATAGTTACTTAAAATGATATAAGAAAGCAGTAAATGTACTTCATAATAGTAAACGTAATTTCATTGAGGTGGATCTATGACTATTCCGGGTTTTTTTATGGGATGGGTTGGCAGACGGTCCGACAGATTACCTGATGGAAAGCAATCGACGCCGTCCCATAGACACCCGCAACTCCAAAGGATTTACGAGTGGCTCACTCACACGGTGAAACGCAACGCTGTGGTTGTTTCACGCCAGTTTTCTTTGATGCCGTTTTATCATTTCGGTTAAGGTCACTCCCACACTTAGATTTCAATCAGTTCTAATTGAATTTCATAATTTATTAAATACAAATATTTTCATTCGAATTCGAAATCGCTCAATAGAGATCTTATGTTCACAAATTCCTTCTATTTATGTAGAAAAGTATCTTATTTATCTGGAAACAATATATCTTCTCTTTTAGTCCATCTTCTCATCCGGATAATGATATAAAGCGTATCTTCTGCCTCATGATCATGGTGTCAGGTTGCCTGGTGGTAACTGGAGCCGCTGTGGCTTCTCTGTCTCTCATCATCAGTTTATACATGAGGCCTGAAGAGACATTCCGGTCAAGGTACAGGCTTATCATGAAAGAAATGGTAAGGAGCTTGATAGTTTTTATACTATTATTACTAATGCTACTATTAAAGATTGGAAGTGGACATCAAAGGTACCAAAAATGCATTGCGGATCACGTAGGAAGTGGTTGTTTGCACCGTAATTTTTAGGGAAGCGGTCTTCTTATTCTGAAAGACTCAGTGTAATTGGCAACTTTTTTTTTTTGTTTAATTAAAAACGTTGCAGCAACTGAGAGATTTTGAAAAATCAAAACATCAATCTAAATCCCAGTAACTTTATCCAGTGGATAGAAGAAATCATGATCATAAACGTAGACCAACAAAAGACATTGAAGACAATCGATTTAAATATGTTTATCTATCCCTTCAGACGGATACAAAGGTTCCACCAGCTCTCCGGGAAAAGGTTGAGTCTTTCTACAAGATGTACTGGCACAAACAACGTGCTGTGTCCAAGACTCGGCTATTGCCAACGTTTCCACCAACCCTGCCTGCTACTATCAACCTCGATATTTATTTTGAAGCAACACAGAAGGTACGTTATCGTTAACATCCACTCTTCACATATCATTATGTTTCCCGTATAATAGAGAGGTTGACCTTTAACTCTTGGCATCTTACTACCGTTAACCACATTTTGGACTTTTTGTACTACAATGTCTTCTTTTTTTTACACAATGTCCTATTTGCTAAAATTCCTGTAAGCTAGGATCTACAGTAGACACAACCATGAAAATACCGAAACACTCAAGTCTGAGACGTTTCAAAGACATGAATCATCACTGTCCAGAATATATTATTTGAGAAGAAGAAAAATGAAATAGTGATTTTAACGTAGAGACAGAATGACTAAAGCCTAGGCACAAAAGAGACCCCAAAACTGGGAAAAGATCAATCACCAAATACTCCACGGAAGATATTTAAAGATATGGCTCCTATGTGCAAGCTGTTATAAAATATAAATACACGATGTCTTGTCTGTATGTTATCACGTCATAGCCATCTTTATTGCTTCAGACACGAATTCTTCGAGATCTGCCACATCAGATGCTGTCAGAGCTTGCCAAGAAGATGATGACTATTCATTACATCCCCGGAGACGCCATTATCAAGCGAGGATCTAAGAAGTGCAGGATCATATACATCACTTATGGAGACGTCGAAGTAATTTATGATGTGTTATATGTATATAATGTTTTTATCACACTAATAGCAGTTTAAGATTAATATTTACTGTCCTTGTTCTTATTGATGATCTCAAAAAAGATAACTTTCGTTCTATAACAACTACTTATAAATGATTTTTTGTTTTTATAATAACTATCGTGAGACATACTAAATTAACTTAAAATCGCGGGTTACTCACGTTTATATTGAGAAAAGCTCTACTAGTTTCGAACCACAGAAGGGTTCATCCTCATGAGCAGCGTGCGCTAAAATGATTTTTTTTAATAATTTTTTATATTTCTTTTTTTTTATTGTTTTACTAAATGCCGCATAACCGTTGCATATTTTTATTGTAGATGTTAACAGCGGAGGATGACACGACAGCGATATTGCGTTTGACGCGTGGTACTATACTGACTCCGTGTGGCGGGGCAGTTGCAGAAGCTCTCACCAGCTCACACTTGGCTGTAAGGGCTGCCACTTTCTGCACAGCACACGTGTTGAAAGCTAGTGAGATGTGGATAATAGTCTGCAAGTACTCCGTCGCTCAGGACCACGCAGGACCAATTTTGGCTTCTTTTACAGTTCAGTATGTAATAATAATTATGTGACCTCGTTTGAGGATAAGATCAGGAAATGAGAAAGTATAAATCCAATTATTCCAAATTTCTGTTCTTGTTTCTCACTGTTAAATCACGAGGCAACCTTTTTTTTCATTGGAAAATCATCAAATGACTTCTCCTGCCTAGGGTAAGAAGAGAGAGAGTGTCAGAATCTTACTGACTAAAAATCCCCCCGTTCCTTCTCCTGCTCTGGGCCGAGGCCGCGGTGACTCTTCGCTTAATCCGCAAGCCCGGCTGAACATTAGCCCTATAGGGCCCCGTCTGTGGTAGTCTATTGGGTCTTTGGGTCGGGTCTGGTTCTGGTCAGGCGGCGAGCTACCCTTACTCGCCCTCTGCAGACGCTTACGGTGGCCGGAGATCGTCTCTCGATCCCCGACGGCCGGAATGTTGCCTACTGCGGCGGCTGAGGCGTGAGGAGGATAGTTCCCTCACGCTCTCCGCCTCCTCCTATGCGAACATCACTGCTTCGCAGAAAGAGGAGACGGCTTCCCAGTTCCTTTCGCTACAAACCATGGCCTCGACTAAGGCAAGGCGCGAGAGGTCGCCGCCGTTATCACGAGGCAAACTAAACCTAAAATAATTGCCGAGCAGATTTTTGCATATTTTATTTTTCTTGCAGGATCACATTGAAAGGGTCAAAAGGCATTACTTCATAAAGAAACCGGAAGAAGCCGCGTGAGTCAGACAGCATTTTTTTATCCTTGAACCTATATTTCAAATCAACTCAGTAATGTTATCACTTCCATTCTAATAGGAAGTTACTCCAATGACATTATTTGTCACTCAAAAAACATTTCGCTGAAAATTTAATATGTAGAACCACAAAATATCTGATTATTGAGGCAGTGCTACAAGTAATCATAATGATCATTAGGCATATAGGCACAACCGACTGTCTTCGGACAGTGTAGATCCATAATATTGTGATACTTATATTTGATAGGCACAAGAGCAGTATCTTGCAGTTCAACCGCAACTTGATAGCGTTGAAGACCATGAAGGATAGTCAGGGAGTTCCCTTGCTGGCTAGCCCTGACATCTTCCTGGAGATTGCTGGCTGCTACATAATGAGGAATGTTAGTAGACCGAACAATTTTTTACCATTACCTATCGTAAACATCTTTCCAAAAGGATAAGCATAAGCTTAGAAGGGTGCAAATAGTAGATGAGTATTAAAATAGCATTTTTACCCTAGCGTCCGGATACCACACTGACTGATCAGTCTGATGAGATCTGTCTCCGACCTTCGTTCCCGTGCATTTTGCAGCCTCACTCTTCACTTTTGGCTGTCTGGAATGCATTCGTAGCATTTCTCATACTAGTTATCTGCATCGTGAGTAAAAACATTGTATTATAATTAGTATAACAAGCAAGTCAACATACTTTAAAGCAAAAGGCATAATAAATTAACTTTGTGGTTAGGTCAAATTCTTTTTACGGAAACTACACACTCTGGATTATCTAATAATGAGTTTTATGGATATGGAGATGTTATTGCTATTTTTAAGAATCTCCGTTGCATTTTTCTTTCACCAGGCTCATCCATACCACTTAATTTTCAAGAGTGCTGTATCCATGGAGTTCCGTTTCTTTGATTTTGCGATGACCATTGTGTATGTGTTGGATCACATCGTGTACTTGTCGACGGGTGCTAACGTTGAAGAGGGTTAGTAATATTTCCAAAACGAAAATAGGTGCCTGTATTGTGACTAGAGTTTAATTCTGAACATGTATTTCTGTGTTATCAGGAGTCCCAATAACATTTGCTCAGACATCCTCCAAACAGATGCGCAGTCATTGGTTTGTTTTGAACGTGGTGGCCACGCTGCCTATCTTCGAGTTCGTTGGTGATGGACACTTCGCTGGCATCAATAAACTCCTCAGCTTGCCGAAGGTAAGGTGATAAAACAATAGGTTCATCATTACAATTTAGCATCATAGAGGGGAGTGTGTTCCACAGAGTTTGAAAAATTCATTAGCTATATCTACTTGGTTCCTAGCTGTTCCGTGTGCTGAAGTGCTTGGAGGAGAGTAGTGGGTACCGCAGTAACGTTTTGCGTTTCCTGTCCTATTCTCTGCTACTGCTCATTGCCTGCTACCTAATTGCCGCCATACAGCAGGGTTTTATGTGCTTCCAGTGAGTGTTCTATTATTCAAAGTCAAATCATTTATTTCAAATAGACGAGAGGCACTTATGGGACTTAGAGGGTCAATAAATATCCTAAAGTTCAACTTCGTTAGTGTCACTTTGTAGGTTCGTCCTCAAGTAGAGCTATTCTCTCGTTCCCAAGAGTAGATTCCTATGGAGAACAACTAGCAATAAACAACACATTTACTCTTTTCAATCAGTTTCATTGTTATTGCATTCATTTCTTTTGTTACTATTATTATCGAAGGTACGTAGACTAGGCTTGAAACGTCCACCAAATATTAACCTGTAATGTTTAAAATTTGTTTGTCTTAGGGCTAATTACTGTTTAGTGACCAACTTCACGCATTCACCTTTCTGGGAAGAAAAACCTCTGGACGACGAAACTATATCCAGCAGACTAATTTTCGGACTTTACTGGGCTATATCTATGATTAACTTTACAAGTACGATTCTTTTTATATTATTATTTGTAATTACATTGATACGTTGCGCTTCTTTATATGCATATCGTAAAATTGAGATGCAAAAGACATGAAGGCAAGAATCCGTATGCGTTTGCCTATCGATTTATATTAGCATCAATTAATATTAGCTAAAACTTCACTTCTACCCATCCGAAATGTGCAAATACTTCGATAAGTTACTTCTTCTTTGTGCTTCGTAACTCAAAATATTATCCCATTTTCATCTACACTTACGCTGTTTCTTTAAAGGGGTCTTTATCTTTTTCCTTTAATCAGATCACAGGCAGACTTGGGCAGCGACTGAGTGGAAGCATGTCATCTATACCTTGTTCATCCTGGAGATCTGCATCGTACTACGTATCTTCATGGAAGCTGTATACTCTGCCACAATTATGGTCACTACTGCTCCTAGGTGGGTTTGTCACTACAGTTATTCGTAAAATGGAGGCTTATACGTTGATTTTCTATAATGCCATTTCTTCGGGCTAATTTTAAGGTAAACCTAGTCATTCATTTATCACATCTAACTTTATCTTTACAGGGAAAATTACAGTGCTCGTATAGAAACGGTGAAAAGTTTTCTGGTTAGAAATGAAGTGGATCCACAACTGAGGAAGAGGTTCATCACTTACCTAGAACTGTGTTGGTATACCGACAAGGTATTGTGTCGACTTATCTTTGGCACCTATTTTGATTTTGACTTTAACAAAGTCAATGAGTTTATGAGAGATATAGCGAAATAATTAGAGGTTTCCTTCTTTAGGCGTACAAAATGACACATAAGAAGCATTCGAACATATTCTACGATCTACCACCGCATGTGTTTCAAGATATAGTGGGCAAGCACCGAATCAAATACTTACACGCCATACCATTCATGAAGGTAATATTTTTTTTTACAATACATAAGTTTATATTTAGTTTGTAAAGTGTACCGACTTTCTGTTTTTTTCCAGATTGTGAACAAGGAAGACCTGAAGGTAGTGACAGCATCAGTAAAGATGTTTTACACTTCACCCAATGAAATATTGCTTCACACTGGGGAGCTTACCAATGAGATCTACATCATCAAAAGTGGCATCTGTGAGGTCAGTCATTTATTAGTTTTAGTCAAAAAATATAAAAAGTTTGTAGTGATAGTTTTATTTTCAAAAATCACTCGACCAAAATTCGCCATGTTAGTTGGGTCTTGATAATTAATCAGGAAATGTTCTAATAACTAAATAAATAAGCCTATAAAAGTTTTTCTCTTGGCTAATCAGTGCCATTACTGGAGCCTCAGTCTTATCCCACATCGCTAAACCACAAATCTCCAAATCCCTAATCCTCAAATCCTTAAATCTCAATTGATCCAACTGCTCGTTTGTCCCTCTACCCAGTAAAAAGGTGTGTTTTATAGATTCTTGACCCGGCTACTGGGACTTGCATCGGCCATCTTGTCACGAAGACTCACTTTGGTGCCCTCATCTGTTTATTGCGTAAGTGGTTCGTCCTTTTTATTTGGCATAAGATATTGATAGGCACTGACTACATTTTTATAAGACCATTCTGACAAGAATACGTAGAATTTACATCATAATAATATAATTTTTTGAACATTCTCCTTCATTTATTGGAAAAAACGACTTAATAACGTGAATCAAATGAAAAAAGCTATAGTGGTTTCAAGTCGCAACGACTCTTATTTATGAGCAGCGTGCGCGTAGCGGTGTCGCGTGAGCCACGGGAGTAAAAATCGTTATTTCCAAAAACAAACATGATGTATTATGATATATTCTCTAATTATGATATATTTTCCTTCATTGTTGCCAGCCATTAGTGTCTTAGTATTTGAAAATGTACTGCAATACTTTTACCAATTACTGTCCGAAAAAAAATCCTTGTTGTATAATGTGTTCTGTTACTAAAAACGATTTTTTTTTTGGCTTTTTGTTTATTTAGGCCTTCCATCGTATTACACGATTCGTGCCATAACGCATGTCCATGTGATGTGCATTCATAGAAAAGTATTGGGCAAGGTTCTCAGCACGCCTCAGATTAATCAAGCTCTCAATTATCTTAAAACAACCCCGGTAAGATAAAACTTGTATAATATAAATATTAGTAAATGTTACACAATATGCACATCATCATCATCATCATCATCAGCCTATTAGTGCCCACTGCTGGGCAAAGGCCTCTTTTCAAACGGAGAAGGTTTGAGCATTAACCACCACGCTTGCTCAATGCGGTTTGGCGATTTCAAACTTACAATTAGAAATTATAAGTCCAGGTTTCCTTACGATGTTTACCTTCACCGTATGTCAGCGCTGTCTAAATAATCATAGAAAGTACATATAACTCGGCATATGCACAGGAACAATCATATTACTCGGATGCTCGTCTTGTTTCGATCTCGGCTGAAACAAGTGTGGGAGAATTATGCTTCTGCAGGAATGGGTCGGCTCGAACAGAGTGATATCACAGCCTCACAAAAAACCGCCGTGAAACAACCACAGGGTTGTGTTTCGCTGTGTGAGCAAGGTTACCTGGGGGTTCAAAATCTCGTAATTCCTAATCCCTAAAAGATCGGCAACGCACTGGTAACGCCTCCGTTGTTGTGGCTGTCCATGACCGGCTTGTTTAACATGACATAAAAATAAAACAGTTGTTGTGTGTACATTGTGTCGAAAATAGTCGAAGATCAATTAAAACTATAAGTAATTATGTGTTAGCCTCTCTTTTCTATATGATTTCTATAAAAAAACATTATGTCCTATATGTAAATGAATAATAAAATGAGTGAATTATCTACGGCCAAGGAATTCCAAAGGCTGCAAACACCGATACCTTCATTCGTCAAGTATGTTCCACCTCCACCGACGGCGAACCTGATGCACTTTCGTCTACCCAGAAAACATCAGCCTGACACAGAATTCTTGGCTCCCTTCGACAGACTGGGCTTCCTTTCGATTTTGCGGTAAGTGGATACTCAATAATTTAGAAAAATTAGGAGAAAAGGAAGTCCAAGTCTCCCCCATCTCCATTCCCAATTCCTCAAATCCTTTATTCCCAAATAGCCCGCAACGCATTGCATATTCCTTTCCTCCTGCAAGAGACCATGAATAGCGCCGATTGCTTACCGTCAGGTTATACCTGCTCGTTTGCCGCTTCATCACATAGCAGTAATAATATTGTAATTCTGCAGTCATGATAAACTCTACAGTGTAGGTGTTGGTGAAAATCTTACAGATAGTCCTGTGCAATTTTTAGTAAGAAGAGTTACTCAACTGGTATATTGCATGTCATGGATGAACTAAAATCGAAGGTCGTGTTCCAGTTACGTGTTTCCCCGGTACACAATTCGGCCGGATGGCACTTACCTGGTGCGCTACGAGTGGTTCCGATTCTTCTGTGCTTTCCTGTCGGCGCAGCTGTTCCCTGCATATACCTACTTGGTTCTGCAGTGGCCCTATCTTTACTTCGTCACACTGTTCCTCGATTTAGCCGCTTTCTATGATATGTAAGTATTAAGGTTTTAATTATAAAATTAATTTTAAATGGTGGTCCATTAAATGGCTTTTCAATTTTAAAAATCTTATTTTGAGTGATCAACGATTTTGGTTCTTTCTCGTTCTTCTCTATATGAATCCAAATTTTGGAAGAAGCACCGAGCAACTCTGACAGACAGACTGATGAAAAATTAAATTTTGACGTTTAAAAAGTGCCGTTCTATAAGATAAACTGAAATAAATGCTTTGACTTTCAAGTAATGTGTATTGTACAAGTAGCTGAGAATCTGTTCTGTCTGTGAACAGGTTCAGGGATGAGGGAAGGTCGGGGATTGATATTTTCTTCTAGATTGATGCTTTTATTAATGTTCCAGCTTTCAACGCATGCTTATTGGCTATTTCAATGAGAATGGGATTCTAGTCTATCATCCATCCAGTACCGCGTCATACTACATAAAAGGAGCTTTCATTGTCGACCTGATTGGTTGCCTCCCTCTTGAGAACTTGGAATCACCGCGGAGAGAGTTTCTTGGTAAATAAATATTCAATTAAAAAACAGCAAGTTCCAACACTTGACATCCACCGTTTTTAGTTATTAAAATAAATTATTTTTTTGGATTATTGGAACTTCATTTTTAAGTTAGTTTTATTGACAAATTTCCTTTACCCCAAGTGACCAAAAAGTAAGTCGACTTCGAAAGTCACATTGGATGATTTCGTATAAAAAATTCTGCCATTACAAAAATAGTTTTTGCATTGGACACAGTGATCCGTATTAAAGGAAAGTCAATATCGCAATGTCTTATATTGTTTACAATGACACTGATTTTATTCAAATCGACAGGAGATAAGTTTCGTGTGACTCCGACGACGCAGTTTCTGATGCTGAACCGTCTGATCCAGTTGTATCGCATGCCGGGAGCCATGAAAGTCTTGAAAGACTACATTGGACGTCGAGATATTGTCATGGTGTAAGAATATGATGTAATGTACTTCTCAATGGACCTTAAAATATTAAACCCCATGGATTACTCCTAGACTTCTGCATAGTCGACGAGGAACCATAATCTTAACGCGGATATTTAAGCTAACCTTAGAAGGTTGACTATAAAAAGCATATGATGACGTCACTAATCACAATTTCAAACAAGTTTTTCACTCAATTAATCACGGCTAGAGAATCCTAAAATGCAACTGTAGGACAGTAGTCCGCCAGGCAATATCCTCTTGTCTGAAGAAGGATCCTCTCCTGTGGAACCTCCCATCTCAGGAAACTTTACTCTTTGTTTCCTCATCATGAGCTAGATTTTCGGCTCATAAAATATATAAGTAAATGTTTAATATGTGGTTTTCTGCACAGCGTTTGTCTGAGTGCCAAATAAATATTTTTCTTTCTTTGCTTACAGTAAGTATGGGAAATTCCTTTGTACTTACTGAAAAATGTGCTACAAAAATTTGGTACCTAGATCGCGTGATGGGTAATCGCAGACCGAAACAATAACGATGCTCTGTATTTTCCAGTGTGCATCTGATACCAATATTCAGCGCGATGCTGAATTTCTTGACTTGTTTCATGGTTTTCCACTCCGTGAGGATATATTACAAGGAATTTGACCGGGGAAATTCATACGAGTGGCTGCTACTGCCACTTGAAGATCATGGAGGATCCTGGATATATCTTTTTCAGGACAAATGTGAGTTCAACGTCATCAGGTAGATTTATCCATTGAGCTGAAGGTAGAAAGTCCTATGATTCTCACGCTTACCAAATCACTTAGCGACCACAGAGTTAAGTTACGAATAGTTTAGAAAGCTTTTATTGGTACCTAATGCCGTGCCAATCTTTCGATGAATAACTGGAATTCTTGGGCGTGTTCTAGACGGAAATATGGGTTGTTATTCCAAATACATAAACTCTCAGTGGTCCGTGCCTGAACAATCTACGCTCTTCTCTTATCAAATGATGCACCTGTATTTACATTTGCATTTACATTGTCCATTTTTTGTGTTCCAAAGGGAATAAAAAATAGAGCATTTCTTTTACTTTCCTCAAAGTTGTCTTTAAGTGTAGGATATATGAAGTATTCGATGAAAAAGTTTGACATACTTTGATAACAGTTCGCTTCAACCTGACGGAGACGCCATGGAACCTCCACCTGGGGACCTACTTCTGGGTGGTGTACGAGTGTACCAGTACTGGTTATGGCATCTTTAACCCTAGCAATCAAAATATTATGAGAGTGCTATTCATTGGAATGACGAGCAGTAAGTCTCCTTCTTTTATCCTCATGTTAATAGCCCATCCTGTTTTCACTTGCGTAGGTACTTATTGTCTTCCATCGTATATTTTAACGCTTTTCCTAATAAATTGGTCAACTCCACCAATCAGACGTTACTTGGTGGATCCTCGTTCTCCTATCAACCTATAATTTACATATCACAATATTGATTACAATTTAGAGCAATATTTATATTTACATTATAAACAGGTAAAATTTGCAAATTTGTTTTGTATGTAGGAGGTGATATTTAGAACCTCAGGTAGGATTTCTAAAATTCTTTCACTGATAAACAGCTACATCGATTTGAGAATTTTAAGTGCCTAGCTTTCGTTTCAACGTTGTTTTTCTTTTTAATCCTGGGATAAATAACTTTTATACACGTGCGAAGCTGGGGTTTGAAGCAATTTTTTTTTTAATCCGTTTATGTTTCAGGTGCAATGATAATCACGTACTACTCGGTTCGAATCATCAGTGTTCGGGCAAACGTCAACAAGTCATTGGCCGGTTTCCAACAACATATGAAGGATATCAACGCTTACATGTTTCGTGAGAAACTCAATACCGAGCTACAGAAGTATGTCAACTACGCTTTTGTCCAGATCTAATCAGATTTAAAAAAAAATATTATCTTACAGTAGAATTTTGTTATGTGTTTTGGCTGCGTTAACGTTAGATTTTATTTTGGATTCAGTTACTTTACTATTATCAGTAGTTGTTTATTATTCCAAGTTAAACAGTAGGGTCTATTTATCTGGTTAAGAAGTATTATCGTCTTCATCAAGCAAACTGGCTATTCAAAATTAAATTTCTTCTTCGGGGAAAAGTATAAGAATATCAAATAATGTGGACATTTTATCTGATAGTACATAGCTTCGACGGTTATGATAACAATACCCATGAAAGTGGGATCGATCGTTTCTATGTTGTTTTCATTAGAAGTGTAATCCTATCAGAGAGGTGAGGCGTTACTATGGGTACAACTGGGAGAAGATGGGTGGTATTGACTACCGAGGTGTGCTGAAGCTGTGCGACCAGATCACGCTGCGGACTGACGCCATATTGCATATCTATGGACCCACTTTTGCAAAGGTACATTTTCAATTTAGACTATTAGTGCTGTAGTTGGAAAAGCTGTTTTTTCAAAAAAGCTACTTGGAATTTTTTTGTTAATATTATCCCAGCTGTTTTCTTTATCCTTATCATCATCATCCATGAGACGACAGTTCCACGTCACCTTAAAAAAAAACATTGCCTTTTACAAGAATGTTCTCCTGTGTTGTACATACAATTTCGTATACAAATCACACCCACACCTGCTTTATGGAGCACACTAAGAGTCGTTCCATGATCAAATGGGCATCAAATCCGCGAATATCGGTTATAGCAGCCGATGAAACAGTCACCGCGTCAACTTTGAAGTTTGCACCCGCAGGACCTCCGACGTTGTTTTGGCATTTGGTATCGGATAGAAAATGCCAGCTTCATCAAGTTTTTTACACATCATTTTGACGTGTAAAAGAGCAGTTTCATAGCCTATTTGTAAAAAATAAATTCATTGTTTCATTGTTCCTCAACGATTATTCGTCATCCTGCCATCTTTCCTTTCCAGTGCCCAATATTGGTGGATGCTGATATATCGTTACTCCGCATCCTGGGACGAGCAGTGCGCAGCGTGTACTTCCTCCGTGGCATGAAGATCCTGGAAATGGATGACGTGACTCCTGAACTGTACTTCGTCGACCACGGAGGAGTGGAGATCAGAGTTCCTATGGGTGACACGAATTCTCTTCTAAGGTTGCCGAGGGGCAGGTAATAAAACTATCACTGACTAAGTATATTATGATATATACGAATTGTTTTGGTTTATTATGTACTTTACATCCTATTATATTATGTTATATAAAATACAAAAAAAAACTACTGGTCTTTTGCAGCATATTTGGCAACTTAGACAACACGCCCTACCGCAGAAGCCCGTACAACGTGGTGGCGACCAGTCGCCTACATCTGTTGATGATCAAGTCTGCTGCTTTCGCTAACATAACTAAAGATTTCCCTGTTGTAAGGGAGCTCATGGAAAAATTCAGAGTGAAAAGGCATAACAATAGGATAGAAAAGAAGGTAAAATTGAAACAAATTTAAAGCGAAAATTATCTTAAAATGTGGATAAGTTGTAGGGCCTTGTTCACTATGCGTTCCGCGCAATGACCATTATGTGTGGGAGCCATGCTTCGGCACGAATGGGTCGGCTAGGCCGAAATGGTACACGGCCTCGCAGAAAACTGGCGTGAAACAACCACAGCGTTGTTTTACCGTGTGAGTGAGGTAACCTGAGGCCCAATTTCTCCCCTTCCACCCTTCCTTAAATATCCAAAACCCTTGCGTCCGTTTGCTCGTTTGCCGACCTATTCCATAAAAAAGCTTTGACCAGATGCTGTGCAGCATTAAACGGATAACAAATCTTTGTGTAGTCTACAAATTGTTATTTTATGTGGTAAATCGACAAATGATCAGATAGAGCTGATGGTAAGCAACAGCACCACCCATGGAAACCTTATACATTTGATGAGTTACAAGAGCATTGCTGCCCCTTGGGAGTTAGCAATGTAAGGATTATGGGAAAAGGAAACAGGGAATGAGGGATCGACCCTTTTTTTCTGGACAGATGTACATACTGGGCGGCGAGGCCACGATCCAGGTGAAGCGGCATCTGAACACCGATTTCCCACCTCGGACGAAGACCAGCTTCCTTAAGTACATATACTTCCAAGAGGGCGCTGTAGTTTACTACTTACTTTTCATCTGCATGGGCTGCATCTATTTGGACTTATACAATGCTGGATATGAGGTTTGGATTAATTTTCTTCTTTCTTATCTTTAAGAAGAAACACATATACCTGAGTTATTATTTTTAAACGATCACTTTTAACAAATTTTATTAAAGTAGTTAGTTCATTTGATCGATTTCTTTGCCTTTTAAAGCGATACTATGTATTTCTCATACATTTGAAGTTTTATTATAATCTTCTCTTTTCTTTTTAGAAACTTTAACACCGTTCACAGCGATTACAATTGTTATTTTCGCGATTTTATCTATTGTTCGCATACCTATTCCAATTTGTACATGCCTCTCTTTTTTACTTTATTGTACGATATAGGTACTGAAAGCGTAGTGTGGTTAACCAGATATACCCAGATCTACTCCTAGATCAAAACGGTATCAAAATTCTTACGCTGGTTGTAAAGATAACCCATTAAGACCTTAAGATTAACCTGAAACCATTAAGAATGATTTATTTAAAACGACTTCTTTGACATGCTGCTTTTCTTCCAGGACAATAGCACCTGGCTCCTGATTACCCTCTATTCCTTGGACATTTGTTTCTTACTGAAGATATTTAGTCAACATGCAATTCCATTTCTCGTCACCAGTAAAAGTATGAAAAGAATAATGCTACCAATACGAAGGCTGTACGTTTGTTCTTAAATTTGCAATAAAGTAGCAGTATTTATATATTACACTAGCAGCTCGCCCCTGCTTCGCACGCGTCTCCTGCTATCTCGCTAACGACCAAAGTGTCCCTATTCCCTAGAACTCTCCTCTTATTTTCTAGAATTTTATTTCATAAGAACCTTCTCCTGACCATAACAAACACATCAAAAAAATAATTGGCAAAATTGGTCCAGGCGTTGTTGAGTTATGCGCTTACCAACATATTTTGCGATTCATTTTTATATATATAGAAGATTTCTCATTTAGAGGATCTTGAATGTTCGTTACGTATAGGCAAGCGCAGCGTAGAAGATCTCCACCGATAAAAGGAGGTAATCGAGGGAGCCCTGCATATACTTGTGTTTATTAGTCGACATCTGGCAGCTGATACAATGATGGTTCAGTTTCTTTTTCTATTTATTCTTCTAATTTGCATCATTCTTTATATTCATGTGTGTAATGTTTGTATCCAGGTAGTTCTTCTAGTAAATAAAGATTAATTTGTAGTCTTTCTTAAAGTGCTAATTTATTCCACAGGTATTTTCGAGGACAGTTCAGATACGATTTGATATCAATACTGCCTTTTGAGCTGTTCAGCTTCGCTGCTTCGGGTGGAAGCTTTTGGATGTGGTTCAGCATACTACGCCTCAATAGAATCTTTAGAATTGTAAGAATATACTTAAACTGTTTTATAAAATCTACGGGTCTTTTCAAGGTCTGGTTCTGGTTAGCATTAATTGTCCTAAGCGGGTTGTTGAAGTTAAATAGTATGATAAGGAAATCTAATTTGAAGCAGAATTTGTTTTTACGCGATGCTATATTGCGATTTTGATCTTATATCTGAAATTGGTACTGCTGGACAAAGGCCTCTCCAATTACACGCCTCTGAGTTCGATTTTCTGCTCTTCTCATCTAACCACTGCCGCGGCCATTTCACAGATAATTTTATCAGCATGTTATTTTAGGTAACCGTATACAAAAGCTTGCGCCGTCGCAAAGAAAGTATCACGGCGAACCTGACGCTGACTACTTTAGTGGCAGTCTCTATCTGGTTCACATTATTTGTACATACCACGACTTGTATCTGGTACTTCATGGCTGTAGTTGAAGACCAGTTGGAGCCAGGCTCCTCCTGGATCCATTTAGGTAAGTCCAGGATGTTTTTCTCAGATAGAAAATCTTATCAAAATTTGCGTTGCGTAAAAGTCAATTTTCTTGCAACATATTTATTGGTTTTAACCAATACAATGACTATGTAGGTACCAAAAAAAATTGAATTTAGTTGGTTCTAAACTCTTAAACTTCAGTTCTAAATGAGATGAGCCGACAAACGAGCTTGCAGGTCAACTTGTAGTAAGTAATTAGCGTCGCCAAAGGACATCCGCAACATCAGAAGAGTTACGATTGACAGTATTCAGGGTTGGTGATTTAGTAGTTAGAGATGGGGTATGGTGAGGATTGGCGTTCGTTAATCTTACTACTCACACAGCGTAAAACGAACGAGGCTTTGGTATAACTACCCTTTAACCCATTCATGTTAAAGCCTGGCATAGGTATAAAAAAGCTTCTGCAGCTGAGACACATTTATAATGATTGCTAGAAAACAATTAATACTTGAAACTTAACTAACGCTTCCATTAATTTGTCAGATGACGGCACGACTCATTGTGACAACCATTACATCTGTTCTTTATACTTCGTGCTAACGACGTTCACACAAAACGGTGTTGGTGATATCATGCCCAAGAAACGTTCGGAGGTATGGAGTGCTTGAATTATATAACAGCTTGTACATCTTCTGCCTCTCCTAAACTTCTAGACATTATACGCATGTTGACATGTTTTATTCAAAATTAAATAGAAAAATTTTTAAGGAGAGAAGGTATATTTACTACATACTGGTTTAGAATTGCTCACAAAAACACTGTTTTGGAACGGGAAAAGTTCAGCCTTACTATCAGACAGTTTGTGCCTAAAGCTAGTTAATCACGGAACCAATCTGCAAAATGGATGAAAATCAATAATGCAACAGAATAGAAACAATACAATGAAACAATAAAGTAATGAAGACTGAAGACAGAAACATATAACTTGACGATAAAATAACATTATTATTTATATATCGCAATATCTCCAGGTCGTGTTCGTGGCGATACTTCAGATTGTATCGACAATGATGTTCATGATATACGTTGGGGAGTTGTCAAACATCATTCAGTACCAATCCTACCGCTCGTTCAATTTCTACAGCAAATACTTGGAGCTGCAGGTACCCAAGTTCGTTCTACCCATTTCTTAGCATACCTACTTCTTCGTCGTTCGTCCTGTTTGGTATTTAAGAACAGTGTAACACTACTTGTAACAGTCAATAAAGGCGAACCAAAAGACCGGCAACGCACATGCAGCCCCTCTGTAGTAACAGATGTTAAATTTCTATGGACAACGCCAATTCCTTATAATCGCTGGTCCGACTGCTCCACCATCTTTTAAATAATTAAGTTGTATTGTATAAACGCTGTGTGCACCTGTAATAGGCATGCTTATTTGGTCATTGTTTGTTATATTTATTACTAGTATGTAGCTTATAATGTGCGTGCTGTTGGTATACCAATAAATAAATAAATTAATCATCAATTTGTTAACTGCCATTATAATACCCTCAACTTTTTCTCCAGATGTTTCTGAAAAACAACAGGGTGTCCAAGAATCTGGTGACAATTGCGAACAAGTACACCCTTCACTTGTGGCGGGAAAACAGAGGTCTGCAAATACCCCACTTTTTGGCTCAAGCGCCCCTCTCCCTCCGACTGAGGGTCATGTCTGCTGCATACCTACATCATATAACCCGGGTAATGAACTGATATATCTAAACTGAACCAAATTTACTGTTAAGTCCTTATCATGTTATCCACAAGACAGCCACTGCTAAACATAGAGCACCCTTATTATTTCAACATATGCCGTCGACGTGTGTTGTTGGACGCTTCCTGCTGCTAGCTGCTCTCTGAAGTCTTAAAGCATAGTCCATTTTACAGCGCACTAGTAACCTTGATAGCTTATAAGGTCCACTGTGAAAGACAACGTTTTGATTGCATAGTTTGCCTCACAGATATGACGTCTCAAACGTTGACTTCAAAATTAGACCTCTGACTAGTTGGTGATTACTACCGATATTCATTGATCTATCCGTCTATTTATATAAAGTGGTGATGAAAAGTTCATTTCATTTTTCGCTAAACCATCTGGACTTGACCAGGTTCATTTCTCCTGTGAGATGCTGTCTCTGGGCTAAGGAGTTCATCATAAAGTCTGGCCAAATTCCTGAAAAAGGCCGTTATTTTCTAGGAATTTGCCACTGTCCCTGGCTTCCGTTGCCCATATCGGAAATTCCTTACTCTCAATTCGTTATCGCCTTCAATGCCCAGATTTGCGATAAAGTCTCCTATCAACATTGATGTAGGTTATATTGGTATGTATGGCCCTACTAATGTCCCAAACCTAGAAGTAGACAGAACGTTTACTTACTTCCTCATCTGGGTTGCTGTTGTATTGTAGGTATTTAAAATTCAACAATTTAACTTATTTAAATTTTGAGTTTTTTTTTTTCGTGATTCCAGCATCATATCTTTGAAGATTGCGAGCCGGCTTTCCTCAGACAGGTGGTGGGATGTTTGAAGTTATATACGTACAACGAAGGTACTTATATCAAACACAGTGAGAATTATATCGAGCTTACATTATAAATTGTCTGGTAGATTAACCAAATATAAGATATTTTATGAAATAAATTTTATAAAGGGATGTACGTCGTCAAAGAAAGCGAAATCACGGATGCAATGTACGTGATACATACTGGAAAAGTGAGGGAGACTAGCGAGGAGGCCATGGATATCAGTGCCAGGGTCTATCCTGCCGGCTCTTACTTCGGTGTTGTAAGTAACATCACACTAAAACATTAAATGAAAAAATCCTCATTGCATTAACAAAAGCATTCATTAGTTGCAGGGATTATTTCAAAACACTCCATATACTCACTCGTATGAAACGTTAACCAAGTCACAAGTCCTCACTCTGAAACTTGATGACTGGGAATATCTACTGAATCTTTTTCCAGAAAGTAAGAAGTCTATACATAAACATCTGAGACAATTACGAGACGACCAAACGGGCAACAGTAATTGGCCTGGAGGACCATCAACAGATACACCTCCCGAATATGTAATGGCAGTAATGCGACAAGAGACCTCAGACCTGTCAGAGTTTCCTAGTGTTCAAACCCATTTTGGTAGAGAATCTGTGACGGATATTAAAGAAACAGCGTCCAGCCATTTATTATCCGAAAATAGACATTCAAGATATTTTGCTTTGCCATCTGATAATAAGGCACCTGATACAATGTCCATAAGTAGAGATATCGAAGAAGATAATCAAAGTCTAGCACCATCGGGAAGTCAACTTAGCAAAGAGCCTAGAACCAATCTGAAATCAGTATTTAAAAAAATAGCCAACACTGCCAAGAAGCTCATGGGTAGAGTTTCAGATGTCGAATTGACAGCTGCTGGTGATGAACTTTTATTGGAAGAAGACGCTGAAGCGACAGAGGCTTTGCTCAAACAATTTGAAAAAGCTAGAAAACAGGCAAACTATAATTTTAAAAGACAAAAACCTCGCAGGCACGCTTTGATCTTTCATGCACCAGAAGAAATGACAGAAAAATATTTAGAAACTGTAGACATGGAGTCATTTGACAATTTAGATCATAGAAAATCGAAACATTTGCAAGAAAAACCGCTTAGCAATATAGAAAAAAGATCTCGAAATGTTTTTAGACTGGGTCACAAACAAAAATCTAAGTTTGACGAAAGTATCTCAGAATCAGAACTCACTATTGACTTAGAAGGGGCTTTAGCTGAAAATGAAGCAAGAGAAAAAGTCTTGGAGACAAGATCTCAAACCAAACAGGAAACCGTGCGCAAACAAGTTACTCAAAACACATCCGTTGTTGGTGAAGCAACCACAAGTAAAGAAGTTATTGAAGGCAAAATGAGTCCTACTGGACAAAATCCAAACGATACCCTGCCTGCACGTAAATTCAATGTACCTACACCTTTGAAACAAAAACTTGACCAAGAATCAACACAACCAGACCAAGAAAAAGATATTTTGGTTATGCAACATAAAACAAAGTTGGTTGAACCTAAAGCTGACATTTTACCTCCTGTAATTTTAAAGGCGACAGAGGGGTCGCCTCTTGGCTTTGCTAGAGAAGAACAAATGCCTGGAACATCGAAGGATATTTCAAAATCTGAGACAAATGCTACACCTACATTTATATCGCTAAAAGAAGCTTCAAAGTCAGACGAGTCTCTTTTAGAACCCAGTAAAAAGTCTAGAGAAATTTTGTTACCTGATCTTAGTGCCTCACATGTCACTTATACTCGTTGGCAGGAAGAAAAAACCTCAAATGTTATAGCATTGGCTCAAAATGAAAATATTCAACACAAAAGCCAAACTTTGATCGATCAAAATGACTCGAAAAAGGAAGCAGAAACAAGTCGTGGCCCAGTTCCTCAGAGTTCTAGGTATACTGGAGCTACTGGTTTTGCACCTATTGAAACTGAACCTGGTACATCCAAGCCTTACATACCTATCATATTTTCTTATCCGCATCCTAAAACTGATCAAGACACTCAAAGTTCAGGTCAAGATTCTCAGCAAGATAAAGGTACTATAAATATTGCCGATGAAAGAAAACCTTCGAAAACTTTGGTATTAAGTGACTCTAAAGCAGATACTTTAGAATCAGTAATTCCAAGCGCGAAACCGGACGGAGGTGTAATCTTTCAAATATCAAGGTCTATGTCTGAGGACAAATCTACTAAAATCGTTGACATAATCAAGCCTTCATCTCAAACAGTGTATGAAGGAACATCTACACCTGCACTCCCCACGGAAATAGAGAACAGAACAGAGGAACCATTTGTGGAACAAAAAGATTCATTTGTTAATGCCGAAATAGTTTACGACCCTCACCAAACTAACTACGACGATGATTACGACGGGATACCAGCTAAAGGTTTGTTTATTTTAATGTTTAGTTTTTTGTCATTGGCATATTAACAGAAAGACAGTCAATTAATTACGAGGAGAACATCCGTTAATAGGAAAAACAGAAAACGAATTTCCATATTTTTGCGAATTACACCTTTTATAAATTTTGAGTCATAGTGATCTGTTATTTTTTTTATGTAATAGGTCGACAAACTAGCAGACATATTACCTGGTGGTAAGCAATCAGCGCCGCCCATGGACACCCGCAACAGAGGAGCAACGAGTGCGTTGCCGACCTTTTGGGGATAAGGGATTTGGAGATGGGGGAGGGATTGGGGGAGGGGAGGGATTGGGCCTCCGGTAACTTCATTCACACGGCAAACCTCGATTTTCTGTGAGGCCGTGGTATCACTCCGGTCGAGCCGACCCATTCGTGCAGACATGTTGACAATCACGAATGTCGCATAAAATGTGCACATCATCTCTTCATACCTTGGTTAGGACGTGTATGATATTATAAAAATATATGTTTTAGCCACAACAAGTGCAGCCCCTTCGCTAAATAACGAAGAAAGCATTAATACGAAGAATAATAGGCTTCTCATCCACGTACGTTATGACGAGAAAGAGGAGATCACGAATGATAGTGATGAATCTGATGATGTCAAACCATCGAAGAAAAACAAGACTCCAGAAGATAATGAACTTGGAAGTGATGATGACGCCGGTACATCTAATTTAAAATCAGAAAGCCCTGACAAGAAATCCAGAAAATAACATTAATCCAGTGAACGTTTTTGGGATATCTATTAAAGCAATTAATGGGTTCACATTAATTAAGTAAAGTTTTCCAATTTCCGCATTATGTGACATGAATTAATGCGATGAGAGAATTTAAATTACGAGGTTTTTTTATTTTACAGATTAAATAGTCTTACGTTCCTTGATACTAAGTTTAACAATTATGGAAGCACAATGTTAGTTTTAGTTTATTTTAAATGTTAAATGTTTTACGTTTAAGTCAATATTTTTAATTATATGTGTGGCGATGCATTTTCGCTTCGTGCCTGCCAACCTTAATAGCTACAATATAAGGACTGCGGTCAATAAACGTGTTTAAAATAATATGCTTTTTCATTTTCCAAACCATCTTTTTTACACAAAGCAAGCGTCCCATTTCCAACTAAATATGTCTTATTCCAAAATTATCTTTACTGATATTAGTAAGGAGTAAGATTTTTTTTGTTTATTGCAATAAATGTATAGGCTCTTGGATCTTAAACCAATGAAACGATTGAAAATGTCTTTTAGAATTGGAAATTTTCAAGCACAGTACATTGAATATACCATGGAATTTTGAATATACTGAGAAGGTTCTAAGGAGCATAATATTGGCTATACGGTAAATTTACATGATCTGAAAGTACTGGAGATAAATCTTCTAAACCTTAGAGAAGGTTATCGATCGAGAATTATCAAGGCTATTAAGGATGAATCAGAAATCCCAAAAGAGGTTTTTTGCACATCCTAACATGTCTTATGTCCGGTTTACATAGGCTTTGTAGCTAAGTGTTCAGTCCAAGTACATCAACTTAGCGCTTAGTAATTAGGACCGTTCTCTGTTTTATATTTTCACTTGCCGTGTACACAAATACTAATACTAAGCACTAATCAGCGTATGTTTACATATTAGGACTTAAAATTAGTGACAAGTACTTAAGCGCTTAACTACGTAGCCCGTGTAAACCGGACATTAGGAACACTCGGTGGTGTATCATAGTGTTTCGGAAATATGATCAAGAGCTATTTGGTAAAGATCTGTACTAGCATAATTATTAATTGAATGACATTTATAGAAAGTGGCATCCCTCTATATTACTTTACTCTTTGATTGGACATGACTTTCGATAACGAAAGTGACATGTTTCAGTTCTTCGATAGTTTACAGAAATTTGTTAATTATTTTCTTAGAAAGTTTTAATTAATTTTGAAGTGAGATGTGGTGGAATGCGAAACAGCTCAGTGGCAGTAGACACTTAAGCAACCGATCCAGCAGGTCGAGCCGTACCAGCCAGACCAGCTATGCTAGCGGTAGTTACAGTAGCATCGGCAGTATGGGCAGTTTAGGAAGTAAGATGGGGAACAAATTCGGCAATAAACCGGGCAGTCGCTCGAACCGTAGGGACGTCGAATTCTCCTTCTTTATACGACAGAAAGAGGTTTGGTATTCGTTGCTTCTTTGCAGAATATGCTATGAGTAATATCGTAAAAAATTGGATTTTAATCTTAGAATAATAACACCACACAGGTGTTTAACATAAAGAGTATAGTACCGTCGTATTTTGTCTGGAGCTTATAACCTTAAACATGTATAAAGTCGCGAATTCGAAACTTGGCAAGCACCAATATGACTTTTACCGAGTTAGATACATTTTTTTAAGATAATTTAGACGCTACTGATGATGATGAATGGTGAAGAAAACCTGGACTTAATAAAGTATGTGAGGACTTTTCCTTCTCCCTTTAAAAAGAGGGCGTTTGTTAGCAGAAAGACATTGTATACACGGGCTGATGATAATGTATAATCGGCCGTTGCTTGCTGTTGCTACTGTGTACTGTACTGTAAAAATGAAAATATTTCTGAGATGCTTATTACCATTTTTTTTCTCAATGATTGCTGTTTTCCTAATGGTTTGTTCAAAATTTATTTTTATTCTTCAATCCACGAACACTTTTATTTTTGAACAAGCTGAAATGAAAACCCTGACAAATATACATTTTATTAATCTAAACTAAGTATTTTGATACCTCGTTAAACTTAATTTGTTTAGGCTTTATATCCACCTTGGTGGACGCGCGAAGGGCTAGTCGACTGGTTCCGTGACCTACCTGATGATACGCTGTGGAACTGTTACATCTGCGGCTGTGTGCTAGTTGGGGTCGTATGGACCCTTACTCAACTCCAGAATATATACTTGAACATCCTTGACGTTATCTATAACATCTCCTACGCCATCCACGTCTTCGCTATTGGGTACAAGATCATGGGCGAACTGGAAAATACCGATATCACTTTTTGGGTCGTTCGTTAGTATGAATAATTCACTAAAAGAATTTTACAACTCCATGGTTCGACCTTCAAAGCTCAGTTGATTAAGGGCTAACTTTTCAATGGTTTGATAAAAGTTACCTGGTGAATAATTATGATGCTGTCGCATCAGAATGGTTGTATAAGACAATGACAGCAACAATTTTATCACTTAGATAACATTTATCTGACTTATGAAAAATCAGCCCTAAACCGCTTTTCTTGTGTTAGCATTTTTTGAACTAACTCGTTTTGAACTGGAATGTCATAAAGCTTGTGTATTAGGTGTTATAGTTTAGATTATTTATGTTTCTCGTTATGGGACTATTACAGTCTTCAGTTATCTATCTTTTCAGTTGGGTTCCTAATCGATCTGGGATCTTTTGCCCATTATGTGAAAGCCTACAGTCCTACATTCACACTGGCCTGTTATTATATGCGGTTTCATCGACCTTACGAATATCTTTGTTAGTATCAAGTAAAACTTTTTTCTCTACATACTTTTGACAATATATAAATTACAAAGAAGTTTTTAACAGTTCAGAGTGTATGAGATGTGGAGGTAATGTTTGGGTCTTCTGAATCTAAGTGTCGGAGAGCACTTTTTTATGGTATATATGTAGGTCAGCAAAAAGCAGACGGACTACCTGATGGTAAGCAATCAGCGCCGCCCATGGACACGCGCAACCCCGAAGGAGTAAGGAGTGCGCTGCCGGCCTTTTAGGGATAAAGGTTTTGGGTATTGAAGGATTAGGAAGAGGGAGGGGTAGGGATTTGGCCTCCGGTAACCTCACTCGCACGGGAAACACAAGGTTGTGGCTGTGTCACGCTGGTTTTCTGTAAGGCCGTGGTATCACTCCGGTCGAGCCAACCCATTCGTGCCGAAGCTTGGCTCTACCACACTTAATTGCCCTAATTCGATACGAATGGGCTGGTAATCAGGTGATGGTGACGTCTGCTCTCGGTGGTTTATAGAAAAAATATACTTGAAAATTCACTCTTCTTTAGTTATGTTTGTTGCTAATGCTGCTGGCTAATGATGGAATGATGAGTAAAAATGTAGTTTTAACGCATGTCTCTTCTACAGGGTCATTAAACAACTATAATTTGAAGGGCAGTGTATTGGGAACAGCTCTGAAGTACTGCTACATGCTAATCGTACTACGGATCACTTGGGCTTATATATGGATTCATGTGGATGGGGTGAGTATTAAAGGAAAAGTTTGCTTTGTCTCGTTTTTCTGCACAAGGCGTGGTTATTTTTAATCTGTAAAATAAAATGATGATGAAATTATCAACATACACAATAACACTTGAAGCAGTCAAGTCTCTACTGGATAACGGATTGTGGGCATTTTTATAATATAAGAAAAATTTGCCATATTCTTTATGCTCTGCTGATAGGTTGAATGTTCCAGTAATCGACAGCTTGTGTCGGGTCTCCTGTGTCGTCTGTGCGTTTTCAAACATACTCGTACAAATTCTTATACGCAAGAAACTCAGACCACAAGAGAGGAATCGAACAAACCAGTTTCCCAACCACTGCACCAACCATGTAGTCAATCAGTCCTATATCCTAAGTCAGCTCTTACATCACCTGCGGGAAAAGTAACGGGTGGTACCAATTATATACTCTACCCAACTGGCAGCTGGCAGCTGTCACCAGACCGGAATACTCGTAGTACTAAAAAAATAAGCATTCACACTGAATGAATTACGTGATGTCATGTTTTTCTTTCAATTAGACAGGAGGCACTCTGTATCCGGAGCAACATGTTAATGACGTCCCGCAGACTCCTGCAGCCCAGTTCCTCGCGGCTCTCTACCTCATTAACAAGATGTTTATACCTATCGGGTAATATGGATGGCGTAGCCTCACCCTGCTGTTTCTGGCAAAGAACTTACGACTTACTCTTCGTCGTGACTTTCACTTATCACAACTTCTACTAGAAGTACTGCTAAACTTTCTACAAGTTCAACGAATTCTAAAAACCTTTCTTTGCTATCATTGTGAATAATTTGTCTTTCATTAGGACGTGACATTAATATGCTTTATGGGATAGTTCACAAACGAATAGACGGATCACCTGATGGTACGTAATCGGCACCCACCCCCGCACCCTCGGGGTGCATGCCAGAAGACCTCCCCGTGGTGCACCCTGGGTGCGGGCGACAGTCTCCCTAACGGGATGGCGACAGGGTTGGACTGACTGTCGCCCGCAGCGAACTTCTGGCCGGGCGGAGAACCCGGTCGGGTTCTAGAGGCGATCGGCTCTATGCTGCCATAGAGTCCACGCCTCCGTGGGGGCGTTCCTCCGCACGACTCTCTGAACCTAGCAGAGAGCGGGGCGGAGAAACAAGGGCGGCGCTCGTTGTGCACTCACCCTGCCAATGAGTAGCATCGGGGCACTTGCGCCCGACTGCACCCGTCGATATCGTAATCCGGGAAGAGATCATGGTCATGTTTTATGACTCGGACCGGGACGAGGGTCTTGGCTTAACCGCCCGGACCGCGAGGAAGATAACCTCTATAAAAAATTCCTCCAATACTAAGTTCTGGTGCGCGGCGAGGGTATGTATGGCTGAGGAGTAGGATCAGTCGTGAGCGCACCCCCAGCTAGGGGACCGGTGGACCTCCTAGTTGGGAGACAAATTTACACTTACCCAGGGACAGGGGGCTCTCCCTGGGCGGACCTCTTATTTCCCCCATACTCGTGGGACTTCAATGGAGATGCCTATAAAGAAAAATAAAAATAAAAATCCACCTAACGGTGAGGAGGACGCAAGCGAGGTCAGCTCGCTTGCGAATATAACCGAGGCGCTACATGCATCGTGTGCACGTGCCTCTAGCAGGAAGGAGTCGGACTCAGAGTCCGACTCATCATTGTCTGGCGTCAGCATCGCGCTGCGCCACAAGAAAGACCGGGGCGTTTTTAAACGTCCCAGGTTGGAGCCGTCTTCCAACGAGCAGGAGGCCCCAGCCCCCAAAATCCCCACGGCTGCGCGGGGTAGGGGCAAGGGGAAGGGCTCCACAAGGGCGGCTGGGAGCCGATCCGAGCCGGCAGAGCGGCTGGCAGCGGAGGGGAGCGCCCTGGGAAAGGCTGCCCCCTCGGACTCCTCGGAGATGGAGACCTCCGGTGGTGAGGGTTCTGTAGGCGGCGCTGAGAGCCTCCGCCTACAAGTAAAGGAAGCACTCCGCATGCTGGCTGGGCAAAAAACCCAGGCTGGCAGAAATGGAGTGCTTAAACATGCGGAAGCCGCTATTATGTCGGCGGTATCCCAGCCGGGCTCAGCTGAGCGGCAGATGGCCGCTATGCAAAAAGAGCTGGCTGGAATGCGGCGGGAGCTATCCCGCTTGGTGGCTGCCAATACTGCCCTGGAGGCTGAGCTTCGGGCAGCCAAAACAGAGCTCGCCGCAGCTCGGGGAGTCCGATCCCAACCTGCGCAGCCAGCGGAGGCCGACCTTCTCGGCCTTATGCGGCGGGAGATGGCCGCCTTCCAGCAGCGTTTCGACGTGCTGGAGGGTAGGCTCCTGCGACCTCCACTCGCAGCCGGGTCGTATGCTGCCGCAGCGGCTAAGCCCAAGCCGCCAACCAGCCGTGGGGCACAAGCCAGCGCACCGGTGAAGAAGGGGGCGAAAGCGCCGCCAGCCTTGTCACCGACGAGGGCGCCCGAGTCTCCCTCGGCGCTGGCTCCTGCGCCGATGAGCCGCAGACGAAGAGGAGCAGCGGCCGGAGCCCCAGCCGCATCGGCACCTACTCCGCCGTCTGAGTCGCGTGCTGGTAGCGAGTGGCAAGTGGCGGGGGAGGTGAGGAAGGTCGCCAAAGAGAGGAGGAAGCTCCGGAAGAAGGAGCAGCGGCAGCGGCGACAGCAGCGGCGCAAGGAGAAGCGCGCTGCGGCAATGCTCCTCGCCCCAAAATCTTCGGCTGTAGTTATCACACTACAGCCGGACGCGGCGAAAAAGGGGGTGACGTATGGCGAGGTCCTCGCCAAATTGAAGGGGGCGGTAACTCCCGCGGAGTTTGGGGCACCCGACGGGTTCGCAGTGAGGGTCACTGCCACTGGAGCCCGTCTCTTGGAGGTCCCCGGCGCGGCCAGCGGCCCGTCCGCTGACGCCCTTGCCGAGAGGCTCAGACGACTCCGTGACGGAGAATGAGGTGGCGGCCGCTGTCGCCAGGACGGGGGGGTGCCCTGCTGACCAGGTCAAGGCAGGCACTATCCGCCCGGACAATACGGGGCTGCGGACTGTGGTAGTCAGCTGCCCCGTCACAGCGGCCAAAAAGCTGGCAGAGGGCAAAAGGCTCCTGGTGGGCTGGGTTTCGGCGCAGGTGAAGCTGCTGGAACCCCGACCTTTGAGGTGCTTCCGCTGCCTCATTGGCCATCATGTGGGTGCCAAATGCACCTCAGAGGTGGACCGCAGCGACCGCTGCTTCCGCTGCGGTCAGCCCGGTCACAGGGCCGGCGCTTGTACCGCCCCGCCGCACTGCGTAGTATGTGCGGCGGCTGGCAAGCCGGCCGATCACCGGGCTGGGGGCAAAACCTGCTCCCCCCCCACCAAGCCCAGGAGCAAAGGTAGGCCCTTAGCCACCTCCACCGCTCCCACCGTCGCTCCCGCTGCCGCCGCAGTCGCCAACACCCCTGCGACTGCTGCTGTCGCCGCTGCCGTCAGAGAGGAGGTCGTGATGGATACCCAATAATGGCTCCATTACGCCTCCTCCAGGCGAACATCAACCACTGCGTCGCTGCTCAGGATCTCCTGCTCCAGAGCATGGCGCAGTGGTCTATCAATGTTGCTGTGGTCTCCGAGCCGTACTTCGTTCCAGCCAGGGAACACTGGGTGTCAGACCTGGACGGCTCGGTGACCATCATCTCGTCGGCCGCCGCCGGTACCCCAACCCCCGAAGGGCCTCAGCGAGGCAGGGGTTGCGTCGCGGCTCGGTTCGGAGAGATCGCCGTGGTGGGCGTGTACTTCTCTCCGAACCGAACTCTCGTCGAGTTCCACAAGTCCCTCAGGGAGTTAGTCACCGTCGTCGTCGGGTTCCGTCCCCTCCCCGTGTTGGTCCTCGGGGACTTCAATGCCAAGAATTTGGCTTGGGGTTCCCGGCTCACTGATGTCCGGGGAAGGATGGTCGAAGACTGGGCTCTGGAGACAGGCCTAGTCGTGCTGATCCGGGGTTCTGTCCCCACGTGCGTACGGATGCGGGGCGAGTCAGTGGTGGACATTTCGTTTGCTAGCCCCGCTCTGTCATCGCGCGTTGTTGACTGGCGCGTCATGGAGGAGGTGGAGACGTTTTCGGACCACCGGTATATACGGTTCGACGTCTCCGCCGAGTCCGCAGACCCGCCAGTCAGACAGGCCCCGTGTGGCCCGCGTTGGGCGCTTAGGCAACTGGACCGGGAGCTTTTCCTGGAAGCCGCAGTCGTGCAGGCCTGGGTGATACCACCGGTCAGGCCAGCCGACATTAACGAGGAGGCGAGATGGCTCCAGGACGCCATGTCAAAGATGTGCGACGTGGCGATGCCCCGGATCCGACCGTGCCAACGCAAGCGCCAGGTGTATTGGTGGTCGCAGGAATTGGCAGACCTGCGCGGTGAGTGCACCGCAGCGCGACGCCGATACACCAGGCACCGCAGGCTCCGTCTCCGCCCTCTGGACGCCGAAACCAGAGAGGCGGAGCTATACGAGGAGTACAGGGCGGCGAAGGCCACCCTCAGGGTGGAGATCCGGCGGGCCAAAGATCGGGCCCGCGAGGAGATGTTGGAGACTCTGAACAGAGACCCGTGGGGACGCCCCTACCGGATGGTGCGTGATAAGCTCCGCACCTGGGCGCCCCCACTGACTCAGAGTCTCCGGCCGGAGGTCGTGGACGAAGTGGTTGGGGCGCTATTCCCCCGATCACAGATGGGTTACACGCCTCCGGCTATGCCCCCGCCCCCTGCGGTGCCCAATGCGGGCTACATCGACGACGACGACGAATCCGCTCCGGAAGTGACCGAGGTAGATTTGAGAGTGGCGGTGCGCCGGCTGAGCGGCAAGAATACCGCCCCAGGACCTGACGGGCTGCATGCCAAGGTCTGGGTCCTGGCCTCGGAGGCTCTCAGGCCTCGACTACTTGGTCTGTTCAGCGCATGTTTGGAGAGAGGCCAGTTTCCGCTGTCGTGGAAGACGGGTAAACTGGTCCTCGTGAAGAAGCCGGGGCGTCCTGCGGACTCTCCGTCCGCGTACCGGCCCATTGTGCTGCTCGACGAGGTGGGAAAGCTGTTCGAGAGGATAATCTCAGACCGCCTCGTCGGGCACCTGTCTGGAAGGGGGCCGGATTTAGCGGACGGCCAGTTCGGCTTCCGCAGAGGGCGCTCCACGGTGGACGCCATCATGCGCGTGAGGGACCTCACGACGGGGACAGCGTTGGCCGGGAGGCGAGTCGTCGTGGCGGTGTCTCTGGACATCGCCAACGCCTTTAACTCGCTGCCCTGGAGCTGCATTTTGGAGGCACTCCGGTACCACCGGGTGCCTGCCTATCTCCGTCGTGTAGTCGAGGCTTACTTGACGGACAGATGTGTCATCTACCCCGGTCACCGGGGCGTGTGGAATCGGCGAGAGGTGTCGCGCGGTGTCCCACAGGGATCGGTCCTGGGACCTCTCCTGTGGAACATCGGGTACGATTGGGTGCTACGCACCGACCTCCCGAGCGGCGTCAGCATTGTCTGCTATGCTGACGACACGCTGGTGCTGGCGAACGGGAGGTCGCATCAGGCGGCGGCCGACCTGATGTCACAAGCGGTTGCGACAGTCGTTGCAAGGATCCGGCAGTTGGGACTCGAGGTGGCGCTCCACAAGTCCGAGGCCATGTGCTTCTATGGCCGTCGGAGCGCGCCACCTCCAGGTGGGTCCCAAGTAACGGCAGGAGGAGTTACCATCGGCGTCGAGTCGGCGATGAAGTACCTGGGTCTCGTCCTCGACAGCCGATGGAACTTCACGGAGCATTTTCGTCGTTTGGCCCCTAAGCTGGAACGGTCTGGGGCCGCGCTCAAGCGGCTCCTTCCCAACCTCGGGGGGCCAAACGCCTCCTGCCGGAGGTTGTATATGGGGATTGTGCGATCCATGGCCCTCTACGGTGCCCCTGTGTGGGCGCCGGACTTGAAGCGGCGGCCGGCTCGTACGCTGGTCGCGTCCCAGAGGGTCATGGCTATACGAGTAATCCGCGGGTATCGCACGATCTCCGGGGAGGCGGCGAACCTCCTTGCCGGATCACCGCCGTGGGATCTAGAAGCGAAGGCGCTCGCGCGCGTCTACAGTTTGCGCGCAGACGCGCGTCGCCGGGGCGAAGATCCTCTGCCGCGCCAAATAAGTGCGTGGCGGAATGAGCTCCGGCGAGATCTCACGGCAGAGTGGAGACAACGACTGTCGCAACCGAGGGCCGGGCACGCTACCATAGCAGCGGTAAGACCCCTCTTTGAGGAGTGGCTTGAGAGACGCCACGGCGTCCTCACCTTCCGTCTGACGCAGGTGCTTACCGGGCACGGCAGCTTCGGTAGGTTCCTGTTTCGGATTCAGCGGGAGGAAACGCCCGAGTGTCGTCATTGTGAGGACCACCTAGAGGATACGGTGGAGCATACGGTAGCGGTATGCCCTGCCTGGGCTGAGCACCGCCGTATCCTCAGGGAAGTGATCGGCGGCGGCGACCTCTCGCGCCCGGCCTTAGTCGAGGCCATGGTGCGGAGTGAGAGGAACTGGGACGCCGTCTCCTCCTTTTGTGAAGCAGTCATGCTCGCAAAGAGAGAGGCGGCCCGCGTGAGGGAGCAATCCTCCTCCTCACGCCCCAGCAGCCGCAACTGGCGACACTACGGGCGTCGGGGATCGAGGGACGATCTCCGGCCACCGTAAGTACGGGCCTGCGGTCGGCGAGTAAGGGCAGCTCGCCGCCCGACCAGAACCAGGCCCGAGCGTACGGCGCGTAGCGTTCCGCGCGCGCCTCAAAGAGCCAATAGACCACCACAGACGGGGCCCTAAAGGGCTGATGTTCAGCCGGGGTTGCGGGGTAAGCGCAATAAGGTACCGCGACCTCGGCACAGAGCAGGAGAAGGAACAGGGGGGTTTTTAGTCAGTAAGAGTCTGACACTCCCTCCTGCCCGGCCCTGGGCGGGAGAAGTCATTCGATGATTTTCCCCTCACAAAAAAAAAAAAAAAAAACCCCCGCACCCTCAGCATTAGACGTGTCGGATGTCGGCTTTTTGAGCTTAGGATTTGAGGATTAGGGATTTGGGATGGGAGGAGGGATAAGCATCCAATAGCTGTAGCCAGACCAGAATTCAGGCTTTGCTTTACGCCACCATTATTGGTTCATTGATATCAAAGAATGGGTCTCCCACATTTCCCACACTAACCACCATATTCTTATAGTTCAATATTGCTTTAGAAATCACGTTTCTTAATTTCAGACCCTCTGAGCTGCCGGATTCGGATATTGAACGTCTCCTCTGTCTCGCAATCATGTTATCCGGATGTCTGGTGATAACCGGTGTAGCAGTGGCGTCCTTGTCCCTCGTCATCAGTCTCTACATGAGACCCGAGGAGACCTTCCGATCAAGATACAGGCTAATTATGAAGGAAATGGTGAATGATATTATTATTTCAAGTTTGTATTTTTTCTGCTTTTCCTTATGCCGTTTCAACCGTCGCCTTTTCAATCATTTGCCACTCGCCGGTGGTGCCGACAACTAACGCCGTTCTGGATGGCGCTTCTGCCAACTTATCCGCAGCGCAATCCTGCGTATCCGTTGTGCAGATGCAGAGCGGCCAGCCAGCGTAAATATGGAGCCCTTCTTTCGCCACTCTCCGAAGGCCCATCTCGGAGGCGTCCAAGAGGGCACCCCTACCCTACCCAGGCCATTTCCTCCGCTGTAATTTATAAAACATAATTGGATTTTTTAAACTTAAATTAACCTCTGTTGTTTTCCTATAGCGAATTTAAACTCGAATATACAGTCACTAAACAGCTGACTTATTACGTAGACAATTAGACATTTTTATTACGAACTTATTTACTTTCAGAAAGATACACAAGTGCCGATTGTGCTCAGGGACAAGGTGGAGACGTTTTATAGAATGTACTGGCATAAAGCGCGCGCTGTCTCCAAGACTCGGCTACTGCCGACCTACCCCCCTACTGTGCCAGCGTCTGTCAACGTCGACATATATTTTGAAGCCACGCAGAAAGTGAGACCTCTTACTGCTCAACAGATCTTCTAGAACAGCTACATAAACGGCAATCCACTATTTGTTTCCCGCAAATACTCGCCTTTCCCAAACCATCGTTAATCCTATGCGACTGCCGCGTCTTTTGGTCAATTTTCTTGCTCTCCTTCTAACTATAGCTTCTTTCTTTATATAATTCTACAGCAATGTTAAAAAAGCTATCAAACATTTTAGGCTCGAGTCCTTCGGGACCTGACGTACCAAATACTGTCAGAGCTCGCGAGGACGATGCAAACCATACACTATATCCCCGGAGATGCCATTATCAAACGAGGATCTAAGAAGTGCAAGATTATTTACATCACTTATGGAGATATTGAAGTACGTGAATTTAAGCAGTCGTTTATTATTCTTTCTTAGATATTTTTTTTGTCTAGTGTTTTTATTGTTTGATGGTGTCACTGTAGATGCTGACTGCAGAAGATGACACTACACCAATTTTGCGATTTACTCGCGGAACTGTGCTAACACCATGTGGCTGTGCTGCTGCAGCTGCTGTGGGCACCTCCCATCTGGCTGTCCGGGCTGCTACCTTCTGCACAGCACATGTCCTCACTGCAGCAGACCTTTGGAGGGTTATCACTAAGCACGCCTCTTCACAGGATCATGCTGGGCCCATACTAGCTTCCTTCACTGTTAGTATCGGAAACAAAGACTTTATCAGATCTAAATCTATTTGATTTTTAGTTCTTAATGACTTATTGAAATTGACTCAACGATAAACTACTTATATTAATATTCCAGGATCACATTGAAAAAGTGAAACGACATTACCAAATGAAGATACCTGATAAGGCTGTGTAAGTTACTAAGACACGTTTATTTTTACTAGGATGAGGACTTTAGCCAAGCAATCCACAATCCACCCGACTTGTAATGTGTAAATCGTGTTCAGGGATAATAGAAGAATGGGTGTAGTTTTTTTTTTAAGAAGGGTATTTTCGTCATATTATTTCTTCTGCCCTGGGGGGACGAGACGAAGGGTCAATCTTACAGACCAAAACCCATCACGGTTCTTTAGCTCCAGGCCGGGCCCTTCCATACAGCCCGTTTGCGGAGTTTATTTAGTTTAAGTTTCGGCTGCAGAGAGGTCTATTTGCTAAATATAATGTTAATTATCAGTGTCGAAAAGACCTCTGTGCATGCTCTGTGTGTGGAACTTTTCCAGTTTTATTTCATTTTGCAATTCCTTTTTTTATAGTAATTCTATAAAATATGTTCGCCAGCCACAAAAGCAGCATCTTGCATTTCAACCGCAACCTCATGTCTCTGAAGAAGATGAAGAATGCGAACGGAGAACCCTTGCTGGAAAGTCCCGACATCTTCCTTGAAATTGCTGGCTGTTATATCATGAGGAATGTTAGTAATTTTCCTAAATATTCAAACAGCTATATTCTTAAGAGGCGGCAGATCAACGTTTTGGATGTCGAGTTATATGCTAGAGTTAAAAATCTTGCCGCAGAAGTATTCGATTTAAAGTAAGATTACATAGATACTCATCACACAGCCACACATCTCAAAGATACTGCTACGCAGAGCCCGAAATTCTGGCTAGTGAATGAAATAACAGGCGAAAAATCTTACGGTTATCACTGGTCACCGGCATTATGGAATCTTCAGCATTTTCCTGTCAACTGTCAAATTTAAAAGTAAAAACATTGTTTTATCGTCACCTCAGCGCTCCAGAGCTACTCAAACAGACACATCCGACGTGATATGCTTGCGACCGATATTCCCCTGTATCCTGCATCCGTCCTCATCGTTGCTGTTCGCATGGCATGCTCTCGTAGCCACACTGATTCTCATCATCTGTATTGTAAGTAGCGTATACTCCAGACTTTTACAGAACAGTATTTTGTGTGTTATTAGAGAAATTACTTTCTTTTTTATACCAACTAGTTTGGTTATTCTTCTGCGATTACTATATATATATCTCTTTTTACTTTAGTATTTTACTAGTTTTGAATAGTACCTAACTATCGTGAGACATACAAAATGTATTGGAAATAACGACTTAGTACTTATAGAGAATAATAATTAACGGTAAGAAGCTCAATAAAAAATGAGTCTCTATTATCTTCTGGTACCTTAATTGAATCTATGTAGACCGTTCATATTATATTCCTCTATTACAAAAAAATAATAAGTGTTTACTTCTTCTTGTAAGAGAAAATCATCGAATGGTTTCTCTAACGCTAGATGAAGGAGTGATAGACTCTCACTGACTAAAAACCATAATATTTCTACTCTTGCTCCACGCCGGACCACGGTATGTTATTGCGCTTGATTTGGATCAACCTCCAGCTGGGAAATTAAATCTGCTGATATCTATCTTTTCATAGACCCACCCTTACAACTTGGTGTATAAGAAATCAGTGACATTGACGTTCCGTTTCTTCGACTACGTCATGACTGCTGTATTTATTCTGGACCTCATCGTGCACCTGTCTACTGGAGCCAACGTTGAAGAAGGTAATGTTTTTTTTTGGTTCGTTTTTCTTCAACCACTTTACAATGGAAATAAAATGCTGATTCTGATAATTTTCTCTTAAAGTAAAATATCCCAGTTTTAAGATTCGTCTCAATTTTTTTTAATCTAGTTTCTAAGTAAATTTCGTGAGATATAGTATTTTTTATTAAAATTTTAAGTAACGTAAGTATTTATTTTTAATAATAAAATCAACTCAATGTTTAAAGAGTTTGATGAAACTCCTCTTCCCCTATCCGTTCCCGATCCTTATATCCGCAACTCCTATCCACTCGTAGCTCCTTTGGTGTTGCGGGTGTCCATGGGCGGCGCCGATTGCTTACCATCAGGTAAAAAAAACTTTATCTTCATCCTCTGTATTTTTCTTACTTACAAATACATTATTGCTCACAGGAGTACCCATAACGTTCGCGGAGACATCATCCCAGCAGATGCGCAGTCACTGGTTTGTGCTGGACGTGGTGGCCACGCTGCCTATCTTTGAGTTCGTCGGTGATGGACACTTTGCTGGCATTAATAAGCTCCTCAGGCTGCCAAAGGTATACACGGAACTTCTATATTTTTCCCCATGGCCCTTTGATTGTTTTCTCAGACCTGTATGATGTGTTTTTGCTTGTTTCTTTCTCGGCTTCAATTATAAGAACGTCTTTTATTACTTTTAGCTGTTCCGTGTGCTCAAGGGCTTGGAGGAGAGCTGTGTGTATCACAGTAACGTGCTCCGCTTCCTGACCTACACGCTATTGCTTCTCATTGCCTGCTACCTCATCGCTTCCATGCAACAGGCCTTCATGTGCTACCAGTAAGATTTTATTTTCTATCTCCTGGATTCTACGTTGAATATCACATTTATCCATTGTATGTGAAACTGATTTAAAAAGAGTAACCATGGAGTTTCTTGTTGGTTCTTTTCCATTGGAATCTACACTTTGGAACGAGCAAATAACTTCAATAAGAGGACCGACTGACAGACTGACACTTTTTATCTTTGAGTTTGTTTGACGTTCAAAAGTGTCCATAAATTTTGGTCTAATAGAAATGAATAATACTGACTTTAACTTTTGACTTTGACCATTAATTTTTATCCACACACCTCACTCAAGGATTTTCCTACTGGCCAGGTCTGGGTATTGCTTAGTGACGAACATGACTCACCGACCCTTCTGGGACCGAAAACCTCTCGACGAAGAAACAGTCCAAGAGAGGATAGTATTCGGATTGTACTGGTCCATTTCGATGATCAATTTGATCTGTAAGTTTTCATTTTTTATGTTTATTATATTACTCTGTTTACACCAATGTGTGTGGTGTATAATCTCTAAATCTTAAATAACAGTTATTGCTTTTGATGAATGTGTTAGGTATCTTAGAGTAGAGTGTGGACGATTGGTTTTTCCTGTTTAGACCACAGGGAGACGTGGCGCACTGGCAACTGGGAGAACATAATTTACACCATGGTCATTCTGGAGATTTGCGTCGTCCTTCGAATCTTTATGGAGTCCGTTTACTCTGCAACTATAATGGTTACCACAGCTCTGAGGTACGCCTTAAATGGTATTTTGCATTCACCCTTTTTCTCAGCCGGGGCTGGGGATCAAGTGGGATAAGGTACCGCAGCCCCAGCCTGGAGCAGGAGAAGGAAGTAGGTGGTTTTAAGTCAGTAATTACCTCTCATCCCATCCTGGACCAGAGATCCAGGATTCATCCAATCCAGAGAGGTCATTCAATGAATTTCCTCTTACAAAAATAATCTATTATTTGCTGATTATTTGAATGAAATGAGTGTCACGTGAACGTTGTACGACTGATGGTAATCTGAAGTGGTCCACGTAATAATCATTATTAAAAGAGATAGAATCGTTCAAAGTGTTTTCTTTTTTATGAACAGAGAAGATTACGACTCCCGTATCGCGACGGTGAAGAGTTTCCTAATCAGGAATGAAGTGAACCCTGTATTGAGGAAACGGTTCATTGAGTATTTGCAGTTGTGTTGGTATACTGACAAGGTAAATATGAAGTATACGAAACACGATGCTGTGGTTGTTTCACGACCCATTACACACGACCATTATTTACCCATTCGATCTAAATCTTGACACTTAATCCAAACTAATATTATTAATGCGAAAGTAACTCTGTTTGTTTTTCTGTCTTTTTCACTTCACGCCTAAGCCAGAGAACCTATTTCTGCGAAATTTGGTACAGGCACAGTTTGGAACTTGAGAAAGGACATAGGATAGTTTTTCTGACCAAAAATCTGCAAGAAGTCACGCGAACGGAGTCGCGGGCAAAAGATAGTAACACATAAAAATCTCTAGGCTAACACGGAGCCTGGAATTATGCCTCCTATATAGTGAAAGTACCTAAATAAGCTTTCCCCCTAATGCAAAAGATTTTGAACGTAAATGCCGATAAATGGTGTTATATTTTGTAGGGTGCACATCGAGGAAGTTTGTTACACGTGTAATACCACTTTTACAATTACTTCCAGGCTTTCACAATGACACATAAGAACGCGAACATATTCTACGATCTGCCACCGCATGTCTACCAAGACATTGTGAGTAGAAACCGAAGCAAGTACATACTGATCATACCTTTTATGAGGGTGAGTTTTCTCTATACTAATATTATAAAGAGATATTTGTAAGTTTTTACAAAATTTTAGCACTTCTAGCTAGCTACGATATTCCTTAGCGCTATATAGGTAGGTTTTAAAACATCACGTTACGACTAAATGGAGCCAACTGCTTGTGAAATCGCGCGGGAGTAACTAGTACTAGGTTGCGAGGCAGTCGGTTTCCCAGCCACCGCGTCAACCGAGTAGTCACTGAAAAGATCTTAAGTTAAAATTTATCCACATATCCACATAACCCAGTAACCGTCCAAACATGGCAAGTGCCCTTAGATCATTGAACTATTAAACATATTTTGTATTTAATTTCTCTTGTTCACTCTATTACTTCCAGCTGCTTTCCAAGGAAGACCTCAGAGTGATATCGTCACAGGCCAAGCTGTTTTACACCTCGCCCAATGAGATACTGCTCAACACTGGAGAACTCTCCAACGAGATCTACATCATTAAACAGGGTTATTGCGAGGTCAGTCATTATTTGAACTCGCTTATGATAACTGATATGACTGAAGTGAACATAGGTCTCCTTACCTTACTTCTACCTAGTTAATGAACCCGGTCATTCTTTAAATGAAGTCTCCGTTTTCAGGAGACTTTCTAAGCCTGATAAGTAAGTTTTAAAATCGAATGTTCACTTGGCTTCTAGAGATGGGTCTTCTATTCTGTTAAGGATTTTTTAAATCACAAGTTCTAACATTTTATTTACTTAACATCATTATAATTACAATGTTGTTTTTTATTCAGCGTGGCTTACTTAATATTTCCACACCAACATTGGTAGTGTATGTGAAACAGTAATAAATGTAAAACCTCAATGTAGCATATACTTAGAAAAAAAGATATATAATTCTAATTTTGGGAATATTGGAAAACAAAGATCCTTTCAATGGGCGCCGCCCATGAACACCACGACACAGAAGAGGTGCGAGTGTGTGCCGGCCTTTTATGGATTAGGGTGCCGGAGTTCTAGGGATTAGGCAGGGATGGGGGAGAAGAAGAATTGACCATTCGGTAACATCGTCAAAGCTATATCATCATAGGTTTGATGGGAGGAGGGAAAGGATCAGCCTCTTCTTGCTTTTTCTTATAACTAACTTTCCCTTCTGACTTCTGATGCGTACAGATGCATTTTTTCCAGATCCTTGACCCTGTCACTAAGCAAAGAGTTGGAATGTTGACTACAAAGAATCACTTTGCCGTCCTGATCTGTTTGCTCCGTGAGTAGAAATCATTGTACACAGTTCCTTAAAAAAATAAGATTTGAATTTTTAAAACTCTATTTTATTTGTTTTTGTAGGTCTTCCGGCATACTACACTATTCGTGCCATTACCCACGTGCAAGTATTTTGTTTGACAAGGAAACTTTTGCAGAACACTGTTCTTAAAAACCGACAAATTAAGAAAGCCCTTGATTACCTCAAGACTACGAAAGTATGATAACTTTTTAAATCATAATCATCATCATCTATGTGTCCATACAGGACTTTCGAATCACATTTCATTGAGCTTGGTCTTCATCTTTTCGCTTTTTCCAGTTCAATTTTCAGCTCATTAATTCCTTTACATTTTAAAACGTCTAATCCTTAAACATCAATGATAATATTATAAAAGAAATAACAAGAACATTACCTTTTTTTAAGTTATAGGTTGACAAATAAGCAGGCCTATTACCTGATAGAAAGCATTCGCCTCTGTTCATGTACAGTCAGCTCCAAAAGTCGATGAACAGAATCAACTTACCAAAACACCTGTTCACAATAAAACGCCATAAGTTATAGTCGCAACTAGGAAACAAAATAGCCTGTACACCAGAAATTTACAAAAGTCGTTACACACGACTAATTCAAAAGTATCTGTGCACTAGTATTCCTAAAGTCGCTGTACACCTTCAATCCAAATGTCGCTGAACATCATTGTATCAAAAGTCACTAAACAGCGGTAAAGACAAAATTAGGTTAACAAAGTATATTTTTAATGTTGCCCCGTGTTAATATACTTTTGACGCTTATGTTGTTCAGCTACTTTTGGGACAGTGTTTGCTAGACGTTAATAATGTATGTTAACACGTTAGTATCTACATATTTCAAAACTTATTTACAAATAAATTATATTTTATTGTCAGTAATCATACTAATCTTTAATTTATGACATAACATAAACATAACTCTAATGATCTACGAAGTGATTTTTGTGACGGTACTTGTAATTTACTTTGCGCAAATCTTACAAAACCTACCTTCCTTTAATTTATTATTTTTACCCGACCTACGGCAATGCTAAAATTTAAAGAATTCGACATATGATATATCATTAGAAACGTCTTAATTGTCTGCTGATTATAAGTTATATGATGTATTACAAAATCTAATGCGGCGTCCTCTAGCGGACAAAACAACCAGAGTAAAAAAATAAAGTTAAGATAATTATACCGTGTTTAGTATCATTTTAAAGCGCTTTACTTGTACATTTTGAATATATATGTATTACTAGCATTTTTTGGTGACTTTGCTTGTATTCATGTGCTGATTGTATATAATTCACATCTTTTCGTTCATACCTTTTACTACTTAATATTAGTTCATTCTTTTGTTGATATTATGCGACACAAATACACTTTAACACCAAAATAGTACAAATAATAAAAAGTATAAAAACTAAAACCCAACTACGACAAACACCGACGCTGAAAAACGCTGTTTTCTTTCTTATCTTGTTCGGAGGAAACGTTCGGGTGTCACCTAGCACAGATCGCCCGGAGGACACGTTAGAATATACGGTGGAAGTGTGCCCCGCTTGGGCAGGAAGACAGTATTTCAATAAAATAACTGTTGCTATAATCACTTTTCTTACAACTCTTGATATGACAATCACAACAATTACAATTTAACTAAGGATAATTAAGATTAGGTTGAATTAGAACTTAACGTCCACCGAACACGTGGCCGCGTGCGTATTCTACGAAGGTCCAACACTAATTGTCCTGTTTTACAAGAAGGCCGCCTCACCAGAGCTCGGTGTTCGCTATGGACTTGAAATAATTATGACAGTTGACAGTGAAGTTTGACATCGACGTATAACAAACAGGTTTTACATGCACTGATGGCCAGTGCGCCGACATATACTTTGTTAACCTAATTTTGTCTTTACCGCTGTTTAGTGACTTTTGATACATTGATGTTCAGCGACATTTGGATTGAAGATGTACAGCGACTTTAGGAATACTAGTGCACAGATACTTTTGAATTAGTCGTGTGTAACGACTTTTGTAAATTTCTGGTGTACAGGCTATTTTGTTTCCTAGTTGCGACTATAACTTATGGCGTTTTATTGTGAACAGGTGTTTTGGTAAATTGATTCTGTTCATCGACTTTTGGAGCTGACTGTACCTACACCCTCAACATCAGAGGAATTACGAGTGCAGTACCAGCTTTTAGGGGATTAGCATTTTGGACCATTTAAACCTAACCAACATGGCCTTTTTAGAAATTGTTTTTGTTGTTTCTACCAAATACAAAACCTCATACGTGTGGGACTCTAACTATGTCTACAATCATTAATATTAGCGGAGAATTCTCGTCAACAATGTTCTCTCAGCTGTAAAAGACCTAATGCTGTCCCCCTATGCCAGGAATACCACAACGTGCAGAAAAAGAAGCCAGCATTCATGAAGTACGAACCGCCAGAGCCAACACCGAATATGATGAGGTTCCGACTGCCCAGGAAACATGAGCCAGACACAGAGTTCCTGTACCCCTTCAATAGACTGGGATTCTTGTCTATATTGCGGTAAATTAAATAATTTATTACGCAATAGGCGTAAGAGAAATGAGAGACTAAGCGAGATCAAACAAAAGAAATGTTGGTTTATGCATTTCCAAAAATGTTCATCAAAATTAGTTTCCAAAGTTGATATTTTTTAATATCATCCAAAATTATTGCTCATTGTATTTTTTAAGTTATATTTAGGCCGGCAAAAGAGCAGACGAGCACTTGGTGGTTAGCAATCAGCGCCGCTCATGGACAATCATATTATTAACTAAAGGTGTCCGAAATACCAAGTTCGTTGCTGGCCTTTGTGGGTTGTTAAGGATTTATGGATAGAGAATTTAGAGATTGAGGATCGGAGGTAAGGATACTTTTTCGATAATTATGCTTTACGTCTCATAGACGGACGTAATAATATGTACATATATATATATATATATATATATATGTGTGTGTGTGTTAATGCCAACGCTGATATTATTGAGGTTTTTTATGTCTATGATGGAAAACACCTTGTTTTTATAGTAGTGCCCATCAGGGCTATAAAAAGTCTAAGAGAGGAGCAGTCGATTGTCTGGTTCGTCGACAGTTCCAATACAGTTGTAAAACTTTGGTCAAAACTTGTCTTAAAAGACAAATATATATATATACATTTTTTCATTGACCAATGACCCTTGATTTTGTCTCACAGCTATGTGTTCCCTCGGTACACGATCCGGCCTGACGGCAACTACCTTCTCCGCTACGAGTGGTTCCGAGTCAGCTGCGCCCTGTTGTCTGCGCAGCTGTTCCCGCACTATACCTACCTAGTGCTGCAGTGGCCCTGGCTCTACTACGTCGCACTCTTCCTCGATATGTCCGCGTATTTTGATATGTACGTTTACTTTTTTAATAAGTCTTTTGTTAGCTATTCGCCTATTGAATAATGAAGACATAACTAATTGATGACTAACTGATGCGTTGTTCGTATTTCGTATACTGCTAAAAGTTGTCCATTTATAAAACGGATTTTATTGTTTGTCTTGTTAAAATAATTTAAGAGGTAAAAATCTCAAAAAAAGAGACGCTCGGAAATTCCTTTCATTTGAAATACACCAGTGCAATTTGTCTACAGTGGCCAACGCATGCTGATAGGCTACTTCAATGAGGGAGGGATCCTGGTGTACCATCCTTCCAGCACAGCGGCATACTATTTAAAGGGAGCTTTTCTGATGGATGTAGTTTCCTGCCTACCCCTTGAAAACTTGGAATCGGCCCGAAAGGACACCTATGGTAACATATACACCTATATTCATAAGTTGTGACGTATTTTTATGCACCGATCTTATAATCTTTTTTTTTATTTTTCTTTTGGATTTCAGATTCTAAACTTCGCGTGACTCCGACAAAACAGTTCCTGATGCTGAACCGCCTCATTCAACTCTATAGGATGCCTAGTGCTATGATGGCGCTCAAGGAACACATGTCGAGACAGGATCTGCTATTAGTGTAAGATTTTGAGAACGCTCCTTTAATCTTAAAGCAGCTAAATGCTACATACATACAAACACGTATACTTCTGAATCTGTCCGTTACACCTGACTAGTGGGTTCCAAGATGTCTTAACTACATCATTATTATCATCAACTAGAAGACGTACTTTGCTGAAAATAGGCCTTCCCCTTAGTCCGTGCATCCACTGGCTACCCGCGTCTCTGACTATGTAATCGGTCGCGGGAGTCTGCCCATTCTACGGCTACCGGTCCATAATCACCATTTGAGTACTTTTCTGGTCCATTGGCCGTTTGTCCTTCGAGCGATGTGGTCGGCCCATTCCCACTTCAGCTTGCAGATTTTAAGAGCTATGTCCTTTTATCTGTATCTTTGGCGAATATCCAAATTTAAGATTTAGTTACGCAAAGTATCTCCAAGCGTAGCTCTCCCTATCGCTCCCTGGACATCTTTAAATCTCTCTGTAGACCAGAAGTAAGAGACCACGTCTCAGTACCGTATGGTATTACTGGCAACACACACTGATTGTATATCCTGGCCTTTAAAGACTGCGCGGTTTTCAACAAGAAGACCTTTCGTAACTTCCCATTGAATAATATTTCGGGAGACTTCTTTATTTCATAGAACCGGATGAAAGAAACTGGGAACAATATTTGCTATACATCCGATACAACTATACCTATAGATCCATGACAATAGACTTTTGTTTTATACTTTTGCCAGGTTCCAAGCAGTACCGCTATACATGACAGTGTTAAACGTGATGACATGCTTTATAGTCTTCTACTCCGTAAGGATATTTTACTCCGTAAACGATGATGGTGGCTACGATTGGCTGATAATACCTTTCGATGATGTAGGAGGATCCTGGCTGCATTTATTTCAGGATACGCGTAAGTTCATTGATTTTTTCAAGTCTTACGATAGTTAACATTTTTTTATTAGCAGACCGGACATTGGTAAATCCATATATTAGAGATAAGGTTTTTTCTCATTTATTGGTTTTTCATTAATTTCAAGTTGCTTTAACAGTTCGCTTCAACGTGACGGAGACACCATGGAACTTGCACGTGGCTATCTACTTCTGGGTGGTATACGAGTGCAGCACCACTGGCTATGGAGTGTTTCAACCTAGTAACATTGAGATCATGCAAGTCCTGTTCATTGGGATTGCTTGCAGTGAGTTACTTCATCCTACTTTAACCGTCCTCCTGCTCTAGGCTGAACGTCGTCCCTGTAGAGTCCCAACTGTGGTGGTCTATTGACTCTTTTAAGCCCTCGTGTACGCTACGTTCTGTTCGCTCGGGTCTGGTTGTGGTCGGGCGGCGAGTTACCATTTCTCGCATACTCTGACGTTTGGGACGTGAGAAGGATACCTCCCTCACGCGCTTCGCTTCCTTCTTTGCAAGCATCACTGCTTCGCAGAAATAGGAGATATCTGCCCAGTTCCTCTCGCTCTGCACCATGGCCTTGCCGCCAATCACTTCCCTGAGAACACGGCAGCGCTCAGCCCAAGCACACCGACACCATATGCTCTAACTGGTCCACTGTGACCTTTGTTATTCAATTTCCAATTTTTGTTTTGGGCTAAAGACATAGCTACTTTTTATTAATGTCAAAGCATTCATTATTTTAATATTATGTGAGAAGACTTTATTATATTAATTCCTTTTATTCTATTCTATAAAGCCCATTCCTTTATTGCAGCAAACTGTCTTTCCGCACATCTGATAAATGTTCATAAGCTTTGCGTGAAACTGTATGTGACCATTACATTTCTGATGTGTCCAGGTGCAATGATAATCACGTACTATTCGGTCCAGATCATCAGTATACGTGCAAATGTCAACAAGTCTCTGGCTAGCTTCCAAGAACACATGGAGGACATTAGGGTGTATCTGGCTAGAGAGAAGATAAGTGGAGATTTGCAAAAGTTTGTAAATTTCTTATCATCATTAGCTGTCAAAACCAATGGCTTTAGAACACTAAAATATGAACGAATCCATGGAGGTCATGTAAATATAGCGATTTAAAAAAAAAATTTAGGTTTTATTACGCTCGAGAACTTAGCGGCCAAAGGGTCAAAAATAAATAAAAGAAACTTGACAATCTTCTTAACGCAATGCACAGTTTCTTTAAGTTCTACTTTTATCCAACAGGGAGACTCAGCGTTATTACGAGTATAATTGGGAGAAGATGGGTGGCATCGACTACCTAGGAGTTCTGAAGCTGTGCGACCAGATCACGCTGCGGACTGACGCCATATTGCATATCTATGGACCCACTTTTGCTAAGGTAAGGGTTCTAGAGAGGCACTGCTTGTTAAACATCGGATGACCCATCTGCACATTTGTCCCCGAATCCATAAAGAATATAAGAAAAAGTCGCGTTATGATTTCCATTTTAATGTGTGATTGTTGTTAATGGAACAATGACATCTTCCTGTATTGAAGATACGAGATAAAATGCTGAAGATAATTTGAGAACCATATAAATGGTGTATACATTTTTACCACTAAGGCTGTAAATGACTAAAAATATGCATGCCCTTGCAGTGTCCAATTTTGGTAAACGCAAATATATCTTTGCTTCGTACTATGGGGCGAGCAGTTCACAGCGTGTACTTTCTCCACGATATGAAGATCTTGGAGCATGACGACATGGTCACTGACATGTACTTCGTGGACCATGGAGGAGTGGAGGTCAGAGTCGTCTCTGGAGACAACACCCAGATCGTACGACTACCCAGGGGCAGGTAAACGCGTCTTTTGCAATTTGGTTTAGTATCATTTATGAATATCATCCCGTCTGTTCTGTAGGTAATCCTAGATTCCGTGCTATGAGAATTTGGGAAATCAAAAGTCCTGATAAAACATTGTTCAATATTTTTAAGATCCTCGAAACCACATCCTCCTTCTTTATTCAGTTTATTTTCATAATAAAATGACACTGCTTTCTCTAATGGATGATGATACAGCGTCTTCGGCAACCTGGAGACTGAGGAGCCACGTCGCAGCCCTTACAACGTGGTAGCGACAGGTCGCCTACACCTACTGATGATCAAGACCAGTGTATTCGCCACCATCGCCAAGGATTTCCCTGAAGTCAAGGATCTTTTGAACAAATCCAAAACTGGAATTGGAACGGATAAAACGGTGAGAGAAAAGGGATAGCAATGATATTTTTAAAGCAGAAAGCTCATCAATCATTGATGAAGATTTCAACTTGTTTACATATTACAAAAAATTTACTGGGGCCTCAAATGTATAATCTTTTTGCTCACTAATCCCGCTCTTACTTTAGCGAACAGTTAATCATTAACAAGACAGACTTCCATTTTTATGGAAGACTGCCATTACTATTTATTTTTAAAACTATTTATATTTGTTATGGGGTTCGGAGCAAATTTTGTTCTTGGGATAGTAAGCGATCAGCGAGTACCTTGGGAACCTGCAAATCCAGAAGACCAACAAGTGCATGGCTGGTGTTTTAATGAAACAATGAAACAATGAATTTATTTTTGTAAATAGACCATAAAACGGCACTTTTACATGTAAATTTATATGTGAAAAACTAGATGAAGCTGGCATTTTCTATCTAACTACTCTGAGAAGAAATGCCGAAACAAACTCAGAGGTCAGTCTGTTTTCAAGTCCAGTCAATTTAAAAAAAAAAACATAATGTCTTTTCAGGAAAGAACCACACCAGTTTAAGTGGACCCGTTCTGAAGACAGGCACGCAAGTGTCCAAGTGTCAGTTTTCAACAAAGTTTAAGAAACAGTATGAGTAGTATTGATAAAAATATTTGTTACCAGATGTATATCCTGGGTGGTGACACCATGGTCAGGGTCAGACGTACTGCCACAATGAGTAACGGACCACCTCGAAACAAGACCAATATCATCAAGTACATCTACTTCCAAGAATACGCGGTACAGATCTACCTGATGGTTGTAAGCCTTGCTTGCATCTATTTGGACATGTTGAATGCGGGATACCAGGTAAAAATGATTTCATATTTTAATCGCTGTCTCTTTCTGGCAATGTAATTGATGATGAGATAGTTGCTTTTTATCATTACTTTTTTACACCTCTAGAAGAATGATTTTAGTAAAGTCTGCCTAGCGGTCAAAATAAGTAGAATTTCTGTCAAAAGCAAAAACTGACACCCGGTTTCCGAAAGGCCGATCAATGTTAAAATCAATTTAATCTCTTGTCGAGTCATCTGATTGGTTGACTGAATTATGAACAACCAATCAGATGACTTGACAAGAGATTTAACAGGAGATTAGTTAATTTTAGCGTTGACAAGCCTTTCAGAAACCGGGCCTGATACACACATTTTGGTGTTCTGTTTACATTAAGTACGTGTGATTTCGGCGGTTACTTAATTAATTATACTATATTTTATTTATGAGATAAATTGTAATCAAATCAACCCAATCAAGTAAGTAATGCGCGCCACCCATAACCAGCCGCAATGCCAGAGGAGTTACGATTGCAAAGCGGGGCCATTTGGGGAATAGGGTTTCAGCAATTTAGGGATTGGGGAGGGAGGGGAAGGATTGGGCTTCCGGTGACCTCACTCACACTGCGAAACACAATGCTGTGGTTGTTTCACGCAGGTTTTCTATGAGGCCGTGTTATTACACTGGTCGAGCTAACCTATTAGTGCCGAAGCTTAGCTCTTCCACACTTTAATATAATTTAATCATTCCCTATCATCATAATTGATGGTTACAGATCAACAGCACCTGGATATTAGCCACGCTTTACGCTCTGGATGTGGCATTCTTTTTGAAGATATTCACTCAACACGCCTTGCCATTCCTGGTTTCAAACAAAAATATAAAGAAAGTGATGATGCCTATTAGAAAAATGTAAGTAAGCTGCTAAGATGTCATAGATAGCCTTTTTCACCTTACTTACTATGGTAAACGAAATTGGGAATAAACGTATTATTCATGCATGATTTCCTCAACCGTTCCTAATGTTAAAGAGCTTCAGAACTTTTCATCGTGCCTACCAACGCTGCTGGCGTTAGAAGGCAACGGCCCAGAGCGACAAATTCAGGGGAACACCAACGCCTGGGGAGTGCTGGATTTTTTTTAAAGAGTAACGATGGATTTTACTGTTCTTTCTTCTTCATTCGAATCTTCAATTTGGAATGAGCACCTAACTTCACTGACGAACAGACTGACAGACTTTCTATTTTGACGTTTCAAAAGTACCTATTTATGGTTTAGTTGGAATAAATGATTCTGACTTTAACTTTAACTTTATTTCTCTTTCGTTTTTTTTATTTTAGTCCTCTTATATTTTAAATTTCCTAGCACCTTTTTTATTTTTATTCAAAACTTTCTATGTTGCGGCGTGAACGCCTAAACTACTGAACCGATTTCCGTTTGGTACAGTCATAGTTTGAAACACGAGAAAGGACATAGGATAGGAGAGGTTTTTCTACCAAAACCCTGCAGGAAGTCACTATTCCACGCGAACGGTCGTGGGCAAAAACTACTGTAATAATAGATAGTTTCTGTGCAGGTATTTCAAGCTGGAATTCAAATACGATTGCATATCAGTACTGCCAATAGAGTTGTTCAGCTTTGCCATCACTGAGAACAGCCTGAAGTGGATGGTGTTCTCCTGGCTACGCCTAAATCGAATCTTTAGAATAGTAAGTCATGTATACTAGTAGATAGCACAAATATCGGGTTTGTGCACAAATATTGAATTTGTCCTATTTGTAGAAGATAGATGGCAGACGCTCAATTTGCGCCCAATGCGCAATGATGTGCGCAGTCCTGGTCGTTGCAGGAAAAAACTTTCTATGATGTTTTCGCCTCGAAAAAATGGCCAACAAAGATTATGTTTTTAGTTACCAAGTTTTGTGATTGTGAAGGAACAATATAAATTGTAAATTTTCTGTAGTATCATATAAATGTCTATTTGCCATCGTACCTACATCAGTTGGTGTGCGTATTTTGTAATGACAAACATGTAATATGGGCCTAGATTTTTTTTTTATAAATTTTGTTACTTTATATTAATGTTACCAGTAATGGATATTAACTTAGCTATTATCCTGCTAGGCAACAGTGTATAAATGCATAAAGCGTCGCAAGGAGAGCATCACGGTAAACCTGACGGTGACCACGATAGTGGCGGTGGTGATCTGGTTCACGCTATTCGCGCACACCACCACATGCCTCTGGCACTTCATTGGTATGATGGAGGACTCCGTCCAAGCTAACTCTTCGTGGATATACAAGAGTATGTCTTCTTCTTAAAGGTCTTATCTTATTGTTTTCAACAGAATTTCTTGTTGTTCTACCTATCTTTTGGTTTCGAGTATCAATAAAATGTCTTCTTTTACTACTACATCGTCAGACATCAATAATGGCCTGTGCCACGATGTCTGGATAGCCAGTATCCATCAGATGAATTTGAATATAGAACGTAATTTGTATGAATTAACTGCAACATAGAACTGGCTTTTATATGAAGGTGGTGAAACAGACTCTTGGTAGGCATGTTAGAAACGGACATAGAATTTGAGTAAGATTGCCCCGTTGCTTCTCCTGCTTGTCCAGCAAACCAGGCTAACACTGATCCGCCAGCATTGCTGTTCGAGCTAATACCTTAAAAAAATAATACAGCCTAAGATGAAGTATATGCAAAACATCTAGATTTATACACTTTGGGAAACAAATTCTCGCAAATAATTTGATGCAGGTCAACTTAATAGCCCCGGCTATTAAGTGCATTTGCATATGCAATGCTCCCAGCAATGAGAACCGTGATGATGAGAGAGAAAACTTTTGTTTTATTCAGACTCGGGCCAAAGCCACTGCGACAACCACTACATTTGCTCTCTGTACTTCGTGATCACGACGTTCACACGGAATGGCGTCGGAGACATCATACCTAAGAAAATATCAGAGGTTTGTATTTATATGTATACTATTTGACCAAATAACCTGGGGGACTATGGAAGCGAGGCCTTTATCCAGCAGTAGACATTAGTGGAGTGGAATCTTCTGGCTAATGATGATGAGCCAAAAGTTTGGAGTTCTTCGTTTTATATTTTATGTTTATTAAATTTCCAAAGTTCATATTTCTTATGTCAACGTCATGTTCCTTTAAGCTTTCAATTCAGGCATTTGATTATACAAAACACTTGTTACGGACGTCATTGAAATTAGGAATTTTTACATAATTATAAACATTAATTGACTCTGTATTTACGTCTACGTATCTGTCAAAAATATCATGACAGATGTAAAATGTTGTAACGTTCATCAGCTGGTCACTGATAAACATAGTATACAAAAAAACATGAATAAACAAGCCCATCGGAGTTTGGCAAGATTTCAATTTAAATGCCATTGAAATACTATCGTAGGTAACTAATTTGTAAGAATTTTTCCTTATTTCTTATTGCGTGTCATCTATGTCCAAACCGACATGATCTTCAAACCTTTAAAAATTAGCGTAGGTACTCCTTTTTAAAAGGCCAGCAACGCTCCTCAATCTCCTCCCATGTTGCAGGGCGGCGCTAATCACTTACCATCAGGTGGTCCGTCTGCTAGTTTGCCTTCTATTTCATAAAAAAACCTTTTGGTCTTGTCTAAACTGCTAGTATAAAAGAAAGGTTTGATCTTATCTCTGTAGGACTTAAGGTCACCCAATGTCAGTGTCACCTAAAAGTAACGGAATTTGACTGCTAAATTACACCCGCGCGCTCCTCAAGTAGCCAACAGACTGCCTTAGATGTCCATCTGGAGTTACGGGTGCAAGCGCAATGATGAACCGTGCCCGGCTCGGAGCTGGGGTTAAATCAGTAAGAGTCTAACTCTCCCCCCAAAAGCCATGAAAGAGTTTGTTGTTTTGATTTTATGACTAATTATGACAATAATTGCACTCACGCCGTTCAAAATACAAAGTTTTTTGCGGTCACTAATTAATGTACTAAAATTTAACATGAGTTTTTTTGTTGGAGCTACCGATCGCGTAACTACTAGTCAATAAATAAACAAAAGATTTTTCAAAGTTTCTTAACTGACATTGAAAAATGTATTCCAAACACAACTGCTGGAAACTTTTGAAAAACATATAAACATACGAACTGACAATCACCAACGTTCATTGACCTTTCGGTTTGCAAGCAGTCATTGTCGTGTGAGGAAAAGTTAAGCTCATTTTTTGACCACCCCCATTCTTTACGCGGGTGTAGTAGTGCCAGGCAAGGGGTAGCAGCGCTCTCTAATAACCTGATCCTTATAAACTATAGTTTTCAACCTGCCTAACAAGGTGATTATAACCTTTTCGTTAGTTCATGATTGAATGATATTTGCAGGTCATCTTCGTATCGATCCTGCAGATCCTATCCACCATGATAGTCATGGTGTACGTCGGAGAGTTCTCCAGCATCATCCAGTACCAGTCCTACAGGTCCTCCAGCTTCTACAGCAAATACTTGGAGTTACAGGTTTGGAAAACTGACTAATAACAGAAGTAGTTTCGCTTCTTTTTGACATAACTTTAAGCTTTTGTGAATGCTCGGGGAATTTGCAACGAACCTCTTCATAGATAACTAAATATACCTATATCATTCTATATATATCTATATCATTTAAAATGAATCGCAAAATATGTTGGTAAGCGCATAACTCAATAACGCCTGGACCAATTTTGCTAATTCTTTTTTTGTTGTGTTTGTTATTTTCAGGAGAAGGTTCTTATGAAAGAAAATTTTAGAAAAGTAGAGGGGAGAGTTGGGTAGTAGGGACCTTTTCATCGTAAGCGAGATGATGAGACCCGTGCGAAGCAGAGGCGAGCTGCTAGTAGATGCATACATTTATGTTTTTGTTAGGGAATATTGTATATTGTATGTTTCACACTCATAATGTATGATTACATAAGTGACAATTCCGATCGATTTGTTCCGATTGACGTATTCGTGAAAACAACCTAGACAAAACTTTTTAATCAAGACCAGCCCAGCAATACCGTTATACAAATTCAACAGAAATTATAACCGCGTTACTCATATTATATGGCTCCTTTAAATTAAAATTAATTATACGAGTTACAGTTAAAACGTCACTCGTCGACACTGAACTGTAAAATTTAATTAGCAGTAAATGCAGATGTATTTATATTAACGTTTATATTATTTAAAAGCGAGCTTATGTTGTGGGCGGCTGGTTCGCACAGTTTGAACGAACGATCTTCGAACAAAATTAGCCTATAAGTACCCACTTCTGAGTGAAGACCATTTCTCGCGCGCAGAATGTTTGGGCATTAATCACCATGGCATGGCATGGCATGGCAAACTTGTAATTATAAGTAGAAATTATATAAGTCCAGGTTTCCACAAAATGTTTTCCTTCACCGTATACCAAGCAGGTTTTACTATCGGATCCAAAAGCATTTAATGCAAACTAGGTATTAATAAGTAAGGATTTTGTCCCAAAAACAATTGCTAAGGACTAGGTTAAGTTACCATTAAATGACTAAATACTGCGATTAAACTAACCTAACTGAATTATTCAATTTAGGGCTGATTTTTCAATGGTTAGATAAAAGTTACCTGGGAAATTATTATGATTTTGTCGCGTCAGAATGATTGTGTAAGACAGTGATAGCAACAATTTTATTCCTCAGATAACATTTATCTGAATATTTAAAAATCTGACAGTTAATCTCAGCTCAGTACACTGTTTCAAATTATCGTTATCTAAAACACTTTATTTAGATGTCAATGTCCAATGCATCAAAGATTTTGGCAGAGCGCTGCACCGCTTGACGTTCGCAGCGAAAAAAACAACGACGTATTGATGTTTTTAGCGCGGGAAAACGTAAAAATATCTTTCAAAACAATTTTTTTATATTAAAACAGTGTTATGTAAGATCCGTATTATGTGAGTCGTATTGCAATATCCGACTATTTAATACAAGGAATTTAATTCAAACTTAGATTACAATATTTTGGATGAACTATACTTACTTGCGACGAATTAAATTCACGGGTGCTATGCCGATCCAAAATTTCTCCTCTATTTCACAGATGTTATTATACATATGTATAAACCTTGCTCTTCAATCGCTCTAACTACATACATATTAAAAAACCGCATCGAAATCTTTTGCGTAGTTTTAAACATTTAGGCGTACGGTGGGTGGTTTTAGGGACAGAGAAAACGGCTTTGTTTTATACTATGTAAATTGTCAATTAATTGTATCTCATTTTTTATTTAGGTACCTCAAAAAACGAAAACTTTCCATGTTCAATAAACACTTTTGAAGCTAGACAAATATAAATCTTAATGCATAGTTTTAAAGTTCACAAGGTTTTAATACAAAGTACCCTTACAACTGAATAATAACAGACTTCCTATGTTATCGATTGTAACGGTCCTAATTAAAGTCATAGCCATTTTTTTTAATACATAGGTCAATTTTTTTTGTGTTTGACAGGAATTTATGAAAAACAACAGGGTGTCCAATTATCTTGTGACGATTGTGAACAAGTACACCCTGCATTTGTGGCGAGAGAACAGAGGTTTGCAGATTCCTCAATTCCTGAAAGACGCGCCTCTCTCCCTCCGCTTGAGGATCATGTCTGCAGCCTACCTCCATCACATCACCAGGGTACTGTTTGATCATTATTTCTTTGCCTTTTAGGGTCGTGTTTTAAGGTCAGTACTAAGTCTTAGCTAGAATAATTAGGTATAATGAGGTTGCATACGGAGTAAGCGTTATCGGCCCTCCACCATCTAGCCATTGTTTTTGCACTCTCGATATGAACAAAGAGTTCAATTCATCGAAAAGTTTTTGTTTTCATGGTAATTACTTGTTAGATGATGAGGATTTTTAGCAAATACAACTTTTTACTATATTTATTCAAATCCTTTACTTGGATTTCAGCATCATATTTTTGAGGAGTGTGAACCGGCTTTCTTGAGACAGCTGGTTGGATGCTTGAAGCTCTATACTTACAATGAAGGTAAATTATCTGAACATTAGGTTGAGAATACTGGATTCGAACAGAATGATGCATATCTATTTTGTTTTTTAACGAACCCTAGTCGTAGGTCCTATCCCTAATCCTGTATCGTAGGTGTGTTTACAATCATACAAATTCACGTACACAAAACCAGATTCATAACAACAATTTGTAGATCATACTCCGTGAGTTGTTCCGTATGGAAATCGGAACTGCGACACTTTGCACAGCAGCAAGTTACCCAGCCACTACGCCAACCGCGCAGTCAAATCTATCCACGCACTAATCTATAGTAGTCAACTTCTTGGCACATTTTTCACATTGATATATTTGCTTTGTTTTTTGACAAGATAATTATTATATATTTATTATTTTGAAGGGATGTACGTGGTGAAAGAAAGTGAGATCACGGATGCAATGTACGTGATACACACTGGTAAAGTGAGGGAGACATGTGAGGAGATGGACGCCAGCGCCAGGGTCTACCCTGCAGGCTCCTACTTCGGCATCGTGAGTAACCGTCAACTCTCTTTAAGAACAATACTCTTCTCTTCAATACTACTCTGTTCACAAGGTAGGTACTATTAAGAAAGATTAAGAAAGAGTTTTAATGTAATATAGTGCAAAGGCACAACAGCTTATACGCCTGTTTTGAATTGGATTATCATTTTTTATAAATATGTCTAGCAAATGGGTTAAAAGTTTTACATTACCTCTAAATTATGCAAACTTGGAAAAACATTTCAGATGCAAGGACTTCTTCGCAACACCCCGTATACTCACTCTTATGAAACGGTGATCAAGTCTCAAGTGCTCACCCTTAAACTCGATGACTGGGAGTATCTACTGAAACAGTTTCCGGACAGCAAAGATGCTATACATAAACATATGAGGCAATTAGGAGACGATGATACGGACCATAGTAACTGGCCTGGAGGTCTCCCGACGACTCCTGTGCCACTAATTGAAACCTCCGATGTAACTGATGCCCCTCGAAAATACACACGATACTCAGAAGGCAACAGGCGCCTTAAAAGCGATTTCGATGAAAATAAATTTGTAACACCACCATCTCTAGAGAGAGTTTCACATTTTGATTTGCAAGTAGAGCAGTCCAAATCAGAAGCGGTTTTAAAAAAAGAAGAAGAAGCAGTCGTAACAGTTGAAGAACACAAACAAACTAGTTTTTTGATAAAAATAGCTCACATCGCAAGGAAGCTGATGGGCAGGATTTCTGATCCTGAAATATTAACTGCAGTATCCGGTGAAGGTAAAGACGAGCTTTTACTCGAAGAAGATGAGGAAGCAACCGAGGCTTTACTTGCCCAGTTTGAGGCAGCGAGAAAACTGGCTGAAAAGGAAATTAATTTTAAAAAACTCAGTTCTCGGCGAAAGAACTTGTTAAAAGTGCCGATGGAAGATGAAAATTTGGAAAAGCAAATGTTTTCTATAGATATAGACGAACCTGGTTCCGAAAAATCTGATTCTCAACCATTCGTAATGCGACCACTTCGGATTCGCGATTCGGAGTCTGATTTCACTGCTACAAATCTTCCTAACAAAGAAACAAAAGATATTCTTAACCTAGCAATGCCGTCAAAATCTAAGCTTGACCGTAAATCAAAATTTTCTATAGGTCAAAGAGACGCTACTGCCACTACAGATACAATGGGTAAAGAAAAGGAATCAGCTCATATTTCTCGAGCAGGGAGTACTACCACAAATGATGAAAAGGCTGCTAAAAGAACAACTGCAGTTACTTTGGATACGAATAAAATAGCAACATCATTAACAGAATCTCCAGAAATACCAACTGACACAGCTACCACTATGAAGGAATCCTCATTTACAAAAACTACCTTTGGAATTACTGATTCTAAAACAAAGCGTCCTTTTAGTCTACAAACTATTGACTCACCTACAGCTGCAGTACCTGCAGCAACATCGGATGTCGAAGTTGTAATCGATGTGATGGAAGCAGATTCAAAAATGGCTGAAGGAAGAACAGGAAGCCAAACTTCTTTAAAGAGCAACTTAAAGACTGTGTTCGAAAGAATAACCACGGGCATAGAGGAGAAAGTAGGTAAAACACTTCACACAATAGAAGACAAAATTTATGAACCTAAGACTGGTTCAAGTAAAACTAAATTAAATGTATTAAGCAACGTTGATGCTACTATAGATTTAAAACCAAAACTTGCGTCAGACGTCGAAGACAATGAAGATGTTTCCTTGAGTGAAATTTTATCTAGTGAAGAAGAGATTATCGAGACCACGCTAATGACAGAAAGCCTTCATATCAGTAAAGCGGAGTCAAAACCTATAATAGATACTAAATTAGAAACTAACGATACATTTAAAACGCTTCCCGACGCTGACCTAGAGATAAACGACACTCAATCTGATGAAAATGTTATTGACAAGGCCATCGATTTTTTATATCCTGACTTGGAAACTGAGAATAATGTCAGTCAGGTTAGCATTCCACAAACAAAGCCCGTAGATATGGAAGTTGTGCAAAGTGCTCTAGAGTCTACCAAAGCTGCTCCAGCAACGAGTATACAAACAACTTCACAAGTCAGAGAATCTGCACCTATACAGAAAAATACAAATGTGCATGCTGACCAACATGTTAGTCCAATGTCCACTACTAGTGTTCAAGTTTCCAAATACTCAGATGATATTCAAACACCCCAAGAAAATAAGAATATTCAAGCTGCTCAACATGATAGAGATACTACAGCTACTAAAGACGTAACAGGTACTCGAACAAATCTCGTGATTAAAGAGGAAGATCCTAATCTAAATACGAGGGTCACACAGCAGACGCGATCTCCAAAAGAAGCCGGCGCGCATCCCACTAAGGAGGAATCTAATAAATCAGACGGCAGCATCGAAAAATTAGTATCATTTTTGTCAGAAACAACGAACCCTTATATTAATTCTAGAACAATGATAGTTAATCCACAACCACATTCATCGTTTGATGAAGAAGCGGCGCGTAAGCATTCATTACCAACAAAAACCCAACCTACTGCTTTACTTACTGCTGCTTCGGAAAATGCACTAGCTTCTGAATCTTCGCTGGTACCGCTAAAATTACCAGCAACAACTGTTTCTGAATTAAAACTCACCCAATATTTATCCGAAGAGGAAATTGTACCTGCCATAGATCTTGATGTAGCCACTACGTCAAAAACATTAGATAATACGCCCTCAGCTGGACCATCGAAAGCTATAGAGAAATCCGAAAAACAACCTGAAAATATTAAAAAGGAGCAAACTTCTACAGAGTATGTTAAGGCGAAAGGTGCTCGCTCATCCGTTTCTAGGCGTTTCGTTCATGTGCGATACGAAGAAAGTGATACGGACGATGAGCAGATAGAAATATTATTGGAGAAAAAAGACGATATCGCAACCTCCCCAGACCAGCATCTTAATTATTTCACTATGGATAGTGATGAGCCTGATCCAATAAAAGCTCAGCAAAATGCTAATAATGAGGATCAGAACTCGCAAAGTCAAACATCTGTGTCGAGCGCATCTGGCGTGCCTAAGGATAAAAGCCCCTCTTCTAAAAAACGCTCTGATTAATCAAAGTAAGTATTTCGAAACAATATATACGCAGGTAGGTGCATTCGTTTTAGATAATGTATTTAGTTTTATACAATTTTTTATTTGTTATCGATAGTTTGAAGCTTTAACTTAATAAAACCAGTTCGCAGTTGCACTTTTTTTTTTTTTTTTGTCATAAATTGTAAATACTCATTTCTGTGTGTTCTGAAGCATTACAAAAATATCTGAAATATTGACAACCAACCTAATACTTATAAGTGTTTAGTTTAAATGGTTTCAAATTTGTATATATATACATACATAAATGACGAAAACCACCAGACAATCGACAAAATGTCATTGTTTCATGGTGAATATCCCACACACAAGCTTAAAGCGTGTCTTCAAGGATGGCGAAGGGTGTCGCAAACCCCGAGTGAATATTTATGGTTGCTTCATGGTTGCTTATGGCTAAGTGTACTCCATCATAGGTCGCATCGCTTACCACCAGGAGCGAAAATGGCCAAAAGCCTGCCCATTACTAAAGAAAAAACAGTAATTTTTTTTTAAGTGATAGGACGGCAAACAAACTTACGGATTACCTGATGGTAAGCAATCGGCGCCGCCCATGGACACCCGCAACAAAAAAAGAGTTACGAGTGCGCTGCCGACCTTTTAAAGATTGGGATTTTGGGGATTTAGGGATTGGGGTAGGGGAAGGATTGGGCCTCCGGTAACCTCACTCACACGGCGAAACACAACGTTGTGGTTGTTTCACGCCGGTTTTCTGTGAGGCCGTGGTATCACTCTGGTCGAGCCGACTCATTCGTGCCGAAGCATGGCTCTTCCACACTTGAATCACCATCAGTGTTATTAAAGACCAAGGTTCCCATACAAATACAATTTAAATAGCACCTTCTAAAAACAGTCACGTTATTAACAATGACACATAAGCACATGTTACTAACCTCTGCAAAGTATCATCTTGGATCCGTCAAGCTCATTAATGTTCCGCGGACCCGGTCTGGAGCAGGAGGAGGACCGTAGTGGTTTTTAAACAGTAAGAGTCTGAGACTCCTTCTTGCCCACCCAGGGCAGAAGAATTAGTGGATGTTGACCACTCAAACAAAATCGGATAGCTAGATGGCCCAAACCTCTAGCAGAATGAGCATCTTTATTCTGTCATATTCCTGTACTTAAATATTTGTCTTATGTTTTTTTAGTCTGCATCTTACATTAACACATTGACTTTAATTCTTATCGGTTAAGTACTTAGGGTGAATCTTCACATCAATTCACCTAAAATGAATGATGTCATTATCCTCAACCGAAAATTATGCTGATTAAAACACAGAAAATGATTATATTAAAGTAAATCTCACCACTGCTTACAAGCAACCGAATAAAAATATTGTACCTATATAATAAATTACTAAGATGCTTAACAACCTGGAAGGATAATGACTTGTTAAATAAAAGTTAAGGTTTTTCGGAGAATCACCCATTACTACAATAAAACGCAGTAATTCTAAAAAAGCCTTTATTACAAAAACTCTCTTAGTTCATAAAATAACAACAATAAAATCCGTAACAAGATGATTTGTACCGAACATCAACAATAATTCGCTAACTCAGTAACATTGCTCTGATATTAATATTTTGCCATCTAGTTTGCTGTCTTTCACTTTGATATATTTTATTTTAGACTTTACTTATATTGGAATGCCCAGCACTCTGTCTACACGCTCTGGTGTTTTTGAGATTGTCATTCTGTGCGACCTCCCTTAGTCTTGTTCCGTGGTCTTAAGTTACTTAAATGCTTGGGTGTACATGCTTAACTTACAATTAACTTATTACTAAGATTACGGTTTCTTAAATATAAGAATATAGCGTTTGTTGACCGCCATCTTGGATTGGTCTCAACTTTAAGTTGTTTTTGGACAGCTTCTGTAACAAATAGAAAGAAAACGTTAATATTTTTATCCTCTTGTGTAACAAACTTTTGTAGGAGTTGGCGATGCTGTCGGCCGGCGCAATTTTTACGATCTAGTGTCTATTTCCAGTGACAGTATTTCAATATAATTATAAAGCTACAGGAAACAAGATTGACGTCATCGTGCACTCTACATTGCTGACTTATATTTCATTTCAATTCTATATTAAAAAATAAATAGTTTAGATATATTTACGGAGTCTTTAAATGTCGCAATAATCCGTTATTTATGTTTAAAATTTCGTGCGGTACGGTCAAAACTATTTATGTGTACGTCGAGAAACATCAAGATATTATGACGCGATCGTGTCCGTGGGCGATTTGGAATATCTACATGCGTTTGATGATTATAATATTAATGTGGTTTGCAGCCGTCACTAGCTGAAATTTACCTCAAAACCGAGACCTTGCAGTGGCTGATTACAAGAATTTATATTTATAAAATGTTTCGAATTATATCTGATTAATGTACCTAGCTATTATTTTAACTGTGATCTGTAAAGTTTTATTAACGATTTGTATAATTATGAATTGGTGGTAAAACCTAATTTATGCTTTCTGTACCAACTTATCTTTTCATTTTATCTTTTTAGGCCTGTGATTAACACTAAGTAATCCTAGAAGTTGGGGCAAGTAAATTGTTTTTTGTGTGTGACCCTATCGCACTTAACAGAAAGTGCACAGATGAGGCAACAAACCATCAGACGCATCACCTGATACTTATAGGTAATACCAGAGGGCTTGCAAGTGTGTTGCAGTTTAAAAAAGGCAATTTAGGTATTTTAGCAGCTTCGCCCCACATTTTAGCACTTGTAAAGATTATAAAAAATTAAATAAGAGATTTCTGTTATTGGACATAAGTAATGATGAATTAATTATAAATTGATCCTTTTTTTCTTGTTGATTTAGGATTTAAAGATTTTGTCCTATACCGTGGGTATAGTTTACATACATACTATTTACGCATACACATCACACCCGCAACATCAATTTTTGTAACACACAAAGAGTTGTTCTGTGCGGGAACCGCAATCACGACACAATCTACACAACTAGTCAAGTCCACCCATTGAATATTATGCAATATACGTGCAAGCAAATGTAGGCATACGACCACACAAAAACGGTAGATGCAAACATACATAATAATATCTATTTATAGGAACCTCCAGGGCGGGGCAACACTAGTCCTACGTTTTTAACGCGCGCACCACACCTCTAGGTCGGAGCTGTCAGAGAGAAAAAACTGCTTCGTGCGATTTGTAAAGCCTATTTCTTTAATTATATGGATAATTTTTAGTATCGTTGTCTTTTCATATTAGTACTATACCTACATATATAAACATGGGACCAGATAACGTTCGGAAATGTTAATGTTTCCGCCAATTACACGTTATTTTTAAATCTTACATTGTTCAAAAACCGCTTTAAGTAGCTACTCGGAAAAATTTTGAAGAACAAGTTAACAGCCGTCCTCATGTTCATAACTACTGATGTACCGTGAGGTAACGAGGATGTTACACTAGTTAAAATAGAAAATTAGGGCTTTTTAATTGAAAATAAAGACTATATGTGAATTACTTGAGAAAAGCTCTAAAGAGTTATTCCAGACTCAAGATAGGCAATACTTTTTTAAAAAAAAATAGTGTATTTCAAGACGAATGTATGGATGAATTCCCAAAATTAAAAAAAAGCAATAAGTATATTTTTACTTACATCGAAACGAAAACGATGTTTTATTTATTTAAAGAGATCTAGGGAGTCTCTCTACTCCGGTCGATCTAGTCTCTAGTCTGGTCGAGTTGTCAAAATTTGATGCATTCGATGTATTTTGACTGCTTCTCACGTCTGATTACGATTTTGTTCTTCTTAGCGAACTGCCACAGTATTGATAGGGTAACATTCTCTTAAAATTTAATGAGACCTCGTGATAATAACAATTGGGTAGTGTCCTAGGTCAAAAATAAATTAATTCGTCGTTTTAATACAATAACATATTGAAAAATAACTATACTTTTATTCATCGATCGATCGATACACTAAGTTTTAGATTTTTTTAGCTCAATATTCAGAAATAAGAAAGCAATTTGACGCAAAACTGTTATGACGTCATACCTCAGTTTTTCATACAAATTTCATAGAAAAGTATAGTTTTTGACATTTGGATAAAAGTATTGAATTTGACTAGTTGGAAACTACCGTATTGCAACAAAATAAGAATCAATCATCAATAAGCGAAATTATTTCAGCTGTTCTCGACATTTGCTTGTAGCGACGTATTTAGCGATTGTTTTATTTAGATCTATTCTATCAAGGACAAACAGCGAAGTCAAAATAAAAAAAAAATAGTTTTACGTATTTCTCGCCATGATATCTGAAACAAGGACCCGGTTAATGTTTCTAAGGAAACAAAACAAGATGAGACTATATTTTGTAAGAAAAAATGTTAAGAAAAATATTGGGTCTTCTAATGAAAACTGCCGAAGCACTGTCATCAGCAGATACTTCAATATATGACAAATTATATGAAAATCTTCGCGGCCGGAAGCTGTTGATGACATACAGACTGACAGTGCTAAATTAATTTCTTGACAAAAATGTTAACGTGTGGTTTTAGAACTACAACAACAATACTCTGCAAAAATATTTTTTCGCGTTTGGGAATAACATTTTGATAGCTGCAGTTATTGGATATAAAAATGGTAGCCCACATATGCTAAAATTTGTTTTAACGTTAAGAAAGATTGCATAAAACTGAGACAACAAATATTCAACAAAATATTGAAAACATTCAATTTCTGGCACACACAAATTAAATCAGGTTTTACTAAAGTCGGTTATTTTATTCCCAATTTTGTTTGCTTTTCTTATACCATTTAAAAATGAATAAATAACCACCCCGTTCTGTTTACATTGTGTTTGTATTTAAAACCGTATGTAGGTAATAGTTATAATTTTATGCACAAGCTATTAGTTAGAATTTCATAAATTAAATTTTATGATCCCTTTCATCCTTAAGATCTTTCGTGACGTCCATAAAAGCTTC